TAGAAAAACTCATCAAGCAGACTCACCAGGGACAAGTCATAGACACTGAGCTCTTTCAGCATGGGACAGTTTCTCCCAGCAAATATCACGATAGTATCCACATCCAGCCGTTCCAAAAGCAGCAGCCCGAATTGCTTCGACTCACCAGGGACATGTCATAGACACTGAGCTCCCTCAACAACGGACAGTTCATCCCAGCAGCCATCACGATAGTTTCCACGTCCAGCCCTTCCCCTCCATCGATGGCGAGAGAGACGAGGCGAGGAGAGGGGCGAGGTGAGGGGAAGGCGAGGGAAAGAGAGGAGGGGGGCCTTGATCGCAGGTAGAGGCTCACCACGGACATGTCATAAACACTGAGCTCTCTTAGCAAGGGACAGCTCCTCCCAGCAGCTATCACAATAGTATCCACATCCAGCCCTTCCCCTCCATCGATGGCGAGAGACACGAGGCGAGAGGACACGGAGAGAAGCGAGACGAAGGGGTCCGAGCCTATGGACCGGCTGAAGCCGGAGAAGGCGAACTTGGTTAGGTTCGACCCGAGCCTGGCTGTCACTCCTGGGAGGAAAAGAGAGACATGGAGAGCAGAGAGACGAAGGGGTCCGAGCTTATGGACCGGCTAAAGCAGGAAAAGGCGAGTTTTGTCAGGTTTGGGCCGAGCACGTCCACCAGGCCAGGAGAGGCAAAGAAGTGCAAACCTAAACCGAAAACCCTAAACCTTAACCCTAAACCGAGACAAACCAAGGCAAATTTTGTCAGGTTTGGGCCGAGCATGTCCACCAGGCGCATTTGTGTGCCTGCCTTGTGAGGTAATTTATCAAGCGCGTAAATGTTTTCATTCATTTTAGGGTCGACTGAGATGTGCTCAGTGCTCACCATGAATGAGCGCATCTGTGTGTCTGTCTGCGCCACACAGCGCCAGCTCCTCAATGCTCTCCGGTAGTACAGATGTGCACTTGTCACTCAGATGCCAGCAGTCCTGGCCGCAGGGGGCGGGGTTTAAAGGGCAGCAACAAGGGCACAATGGGAAAAAATTAAAGCGTGCCTGTCTGCGCTGCACAGCGCCAGCTCCTCAATGCTCTCCGGTAGTACGGACGTGCACCTGTCACTCAGATGCCAGCAGTCCTGGAAGCAGGGAGAGGAGGGTGGAGAACAACAAGGAGAGGTGTGCCTGTCTGCGCCACACAGCGTCAGCTCCTTATGCTCTCCGGTAGTACGGACGTGCAGCTGTCACTCAGATGCCAGCAGTCCTGGCCGCAGGGAGAGGGAGGCGTGAAGAGAAGCAGCAAGAGTGCAATGAGGATGATAAGGAGTGTGCCTGTCCTGTAGAGTTGAGCAGATGCCCCGCTCGGGTCGGGCTGACCCGACCCAACCCGTGGTTTTGCCCGGGTCGGGTCAAGGTTTCCGAAGTCCTGCCCCGTACGGGCCGACCCGACCCGACCCGAGCAGAAACCCGACCCGAGAGCGCATTTCGGGCCGGGTCGAGCCGGGCCTCGGGCCGGGCCTGACCCGACCCGAATTCGGGCCATAAATGTCGAAATCGGGTCGGGCCAGGCGCGCGACCCGATTTCGACATGGTGGGAGCCGAAACCCTAACACAAATGTAAATCGAGGGGGTTTCCTCCCCGTCGATTTCATTTCACATAGTAGACTTAGAGCAATAGCAAACGTGCCTTATACTACCTCATAACTTAGGATTCCGCACACGAAATATAAGAGTTTAAGTTACCTGCCAAGATGTACGAGTCTAGCTGCAAATCGGCGTATTCGCGCTTCACAGTAGAGTAGATTTTCTGCCACCATGAAACAAGCGCGACCTCTACTTTCCTTCCACCAGGCTACAGCCTTGGCAAGCGCGCTGTAATAGACGCATTTAGTGGCAACCGCAGCGACATTTCACTTAGGGTCGGGCCGGCCGCTTGCACTGTGACGAGGAGGCCGCGGGCTTATAAAAATATATTTAAAACAAGTATAACAGAGAAATTGCACAAATTGTGATGAACACCTCCAGCCCCCCCTAAAGGGGCGGGTCTAACTGGCCCGACCCGGCCCGACCCGAACCCGGGTCCCCTTTGACCCGAGTGAGTAGGCCCGGGTCGGGCCGGCTGTTTCAAGAATCTGGCCCGAGCCCGGCCCGACCCGACCCGACCCGATAGCCCGTGTGGCCCGGCCAAGTCGGGTCGGGTCGGGCCAGATGCTCAGCTCTACTGTCCTGTCAGAACCACACAGCGCAAGCATGCAATCCGGTAGTACGGGTGTGCACTTGTCACTCAGATCAGATGCCAGCAGACCTGGCAGCAGGGGGAGGGCACGAAAGCATAGTCTTTTGAGAGGCCTAAGGGCGTGTGTCCTTTGGCTCAAATTGTAAAGTTCGGCTTTTTAACTCGAATTTAGGCAGTTGAACTTTGGTCGACCTGCAGTAGACCATTACAACCTTTTATGGCGAATGGCATGACCAACTTTCACGTCAAGCAAATGTGACATCCAATGGTCGACTATCGAAGGTCGACTTTATACAGCAGGGCTCGAGTCGCGTACAAAATTCGTAGGTTACCCGGTTTGGCTTCTTGACAGTGCGCCACGTCTGCGTCATGCGAAACTGGGTCGTCATTTTCACTGATTTCGCAGCATCAACAAAGCTGTGCAAAAGAACACACGTTTGCAAAAACGTGCACTCTCACGTTCGAACAGAAATTCGACCTGTGTTCAGTGTCCAAGTTCGTTTCCATCTTTTGGCCTAGTTTTGACGAACGTCACAGACCAATCAGGTGAGAAAGGCGAAAAAGGTAACCAGCAAAAGTTCGAACTCGCTTTCGAACTCAGACCATCAAGGACACACGCCCTAATAAAAAATGCACACTCTACTCTCTACATGGCTGGTACGATTCTAGTAAAGTCTGAAAGGCATGGGCTCCCTTGCCTGCTGTTGATTGGCAAAGAAGATAAAGAACATTGGCTCACCAGCTCCAGTCGCTGCAAAGAGCACCGTCTCCCACCAGCCGTCTTCTCTCTGCTGCCCCCGGTCTCCCCACCCTTCTGATTCTGATCCCGGTTCTGATCCTCATCCTCTCCCCCATCCTTACGCCCCTCTTCCTCCTCTGCCCTTCCCCTCTTCCTCCCCGCCGCTCTGTTCCCCATCCCCTCCTTGCATTCCCCTCCTGCCCCACCCTCTTCGATCCCAGCACCCCCCACCGAGCGATGCTCCCCACCATCCCCAATCCCAGCAGCTCCCAGCCTGCTGCAGAGCGCAGTGAAAGCAGCATCGTTGAGACAGGGGCTGCCGGCCTTGAGGTCGAGGAAAGTCAGAGCAGGGAGCAGACTGGGGAGGGGGGAAGCGGGTGGGGGAGCGGAGGGAGGGAGAGGAAAGAGGTGCGGTATCGGATAGCATCGTTGAGGCAGGGGCTTCTGGCCTTGAGGTCGAGGAAGGGAAGACAGGGAGTGCAGGGAGCAGACTGGAGGGGAGGGGAAGGGAAAAAGAGGGGAAAGGAGGGAGGGGAGGGATGGTATAGCGAGGTGCAATGAGTAGAAGAAACATGTCAATGTGCTGTCAGATGTGATCTGATAGGCTGGTGCAGATACGGAAAAAAACGATACGCATATAGAGACTCTGATGCCATCGTTCAGGGTAAAACGATGACATGGCAATGACCATCCTGTTGCTGACGTGGCACTTACCTCACCTGTCGCCAGCGTGGCACTTACCTCATCATCTACACTAATCTCACCTGTTGACAGCGTGGCGCATGAGGGAGCATGACATGGCAGCATGCGCTCTGTCAGCCAATGGCAGATGGCCTAATGCACGAGCCAACAACTGCAGAGAGGAGAGCCGTGGGATGGAGAACAGCATGAAATCAACGGCGTGGTATCATTCGTAAGGCGCCTCAGAAACAAATATATATAAAAAAATGCGATTACTTCCTATGGCGGGGGAAATGTTGTAACGACGTCTTTAGGTTGAAAATTTCCAGCCTGGGTCCAAGATGCACAATACGCTTCACGATATCTTTCGAGAGAAAAAATAACGAAATGATTTTTTTACGCGAGTGATAACCAGCTTCTAGAGCGTGCGGAATGCCGTACCTCGAACGGCAAGCGACAGATGTCAGACGCGGATTCGCGCTCGTGAGCAGCTGTGATGTCATGGTGCAACGGCGGGTTGGCATCGGTATTGACGGCCTCAGAACTGGCCATGCTCGCGAAGTATACAGGCGTCTTACTACTTAATCGCGCAACAGCTGTCACGTGCGAATCGACTAGCAACGGTAAGAGAAACGGTAAGAACCACTGATAACATGAAGGATAGACTCAGAGTCGGTTAGCTTCAAACAGATCTTGCCGTGATTGTTACTGATTGCCGCAAAAAGACGACAGAAGACGGACGCGTGGTTCTTAATAGGTATCTTTTGCGTCAAAGGCGGAGATCATACTTTGTGCGACTCGAATTCACAAGCAAGCTTTCTGACAGGCAGCACCATCCATAACAGCTCACATTTTGCTTCTCCTGTCATGGCTCGTTATTGATGCACTCTTGAAGAGTACCGTAATAAGTATCTCTTAACTTCAAACTAACAAAGATTAATCATGCTTCCCAAACCAATGAAAATTTCTCCACAACCTGAAGAAGTATCAAGGATATCCCGACAGTTTCAATGAACAAAACCTGGAAGGAGAAGCAAACCTTCCATCCAATTTCAAGTCAAAATATACCTTAGATAGATTCAATTAATTGTATAACAAGGACGTTCACTCGCACTCTCGTCGAAGTAATAGAGAACGCAATAACGCTACAACCGCGATGTCGAAACCCAAACATGCGGAAACCAACCAAACCTTCAAAACCCTCCTCACTCCTATTTTCATCGCGAGTCTGCTAAACCATGAATCTTGTTATAAGACCTAGCTCTTTCATAAACCCGCCAATTATCGCGCTGAATGATTCGCGCCGCACCTCCTCCTCCCGTAATAATTCATCCTCTCGAGCTACCAATAACGTCGTAGCCATGACGTCAGGTAATCAGCAAAGGCGCAAGAAGCGGCAGCAGCAACAGAAACAGCCGGGGCAATCCGAGGCTGCGGAAGCGGCGCAATTGACGGGGGGAGAGGAGGCGGAACAGCAGCTTTCGGCGGAGCCGATGGAAACTAGCGGGGCGGCGCAGGAAGCGCAAGCGGGGGCGGAAGCGCCGGAGAGCAGCGCGGGAGGCGGAGGAGCGTCGTCGGGGAATAAAGACCTGACGAGCGCCGATTATTACTTCGACTCGTACGCCCACTTCGGTACTTTCCCGCTTTCTATCATACCCTCTTCCTCTTCTTTTCGCCGCCTAGTTGTTCTCTCCTAGCGTCGCGAGCTCTTAATCTTGCAGCGCATTTGCCGTTCGCCCGCTTCGTGGATATAGATCATGGGGATGTAATTTTCCCACTCCATACGTTTCACGGTTCGGGAGTGCTTTCTGGCTTTCGGAACGACTAGGCGCGTCGAGAGTGGGGTCGGAGCTGAGTTGCCCTTCAGCGGAAGACCCCCGCTCATCCACGACCCACCTTTTTCATCCCTCTCCGTAATTTCCCTGCGCCGCACAGGCATCCATGAGGAGATGCTGAAAGACGCGGTGCGCACTAAGACGTACGAGGCCGCGATCTGCGGCAGCACGTTTCTGTTCAAGGACAAGGTTGTCATGGACGTGGGTGCTGGCACGGGGATTTTGTCCCTCTTTGCTGCCAAGGCGGGAGCCAAGAAGGTGTACGCGGTAAGAGCCGTTATGCTGTAAGGAAATTCCTGTAGAGCGTTGTTAAAACATTTGGTGTCGAATATCCGATCTTAAACCCGTTCCATACGAATTAGGTGCTCAGAGACTGCCAAGTGTGAAGCCACGGATGCTGAAAAACGGTGTCAACATTTGACTTATGTGAAATGCCGTGCCGTGCAGATGGAGTGCTCAGAGATTGCCGAGTGCGCGCGCGAAATCGTGGCAGCCAATCACATGGACCACAGTGAGTCAACACGTTCTTTTGCGTTACAGGAGGAGGCCCATGTCAGTCATCCAGGGTTCAGGGGTTGGCTTGTTGAGCCATGAGACATTGAGACATCTCAAAAGTCACGGTTTCAGGGTTCAGGGTTTCGGCCCCCCCTACATTCTCCCAACCCTTGTCCCTCTTCTCCCCCCCTTTCCCCCCCCGGCCCCCATCTCCCCCCATTTTCCCCCTCGTAATAATGACGGGGATGGAATGGAAGGTCGAGGACGTGTACTTGCCAGAAGGAGAGAAGGTGTAGTCAGTACCCCTCCAGACCCCTTCACAACCCTCCGCACCCCCCTCTGCCTCTCTCGCAACGCCCGCCCCTCCCTCCTTTCGCAGTAATCACGGTGATTAAAGGGAAGGTGGAGGACGTGGAGTTGCCAGAAGGGGAGAAGGTGGATGTGATTATATCGGAGTGGATGGGCTACTTTCTCCTCTACGAGTCCATGCTCGATACTGTGCTGTTCGCCAGAGACAAATGGCTGGTGAGTGTAACCTGGTTACCACATGGGAGCGGATGCGCTACTTACTGCTCTATGAACCTATGATTAACACTGTGCTCTTCACCAGAGGCAAGTGGCTGGAACGTATAAGCTGTATTATTATACAGGAGGTCGTGGGTTTGATTCTCAAGGTTGGCACTTTTCAGTCGTGTCAGAGTGGATGGCTACTTTCTGCTGTACAAATCCATGCTCGACACAGAGCTGTTCGCCGGAGGGAAACAAGTGCTGGCGAGTGTGAGGCGTGTTAGGGTAACCACGTTACCATATGCACTGGTTCGCTGTACTGTACCGTTGCCGCATGCTGTGGTGCTCATTATGCATATCCCATGCATCCCTGTGCACTCTGTCTCATGTGCTCTGTGCTGCTTGCATGTGTGAGGCGGATGGAGGCATAGTGCTACCAGACCACTGCTCGCTGTACCTGGTGCTGTGCCGTTTCTCATCCCCTTACATCCCCTTATATCCCACTCCCACCTTGTTTCTCCTGTGCGTGCATGTATGCAGGCAAACGGCGGCATAGTGCTGCCGGACCATTGCTCGCTGTACCTGATGGCGATAGAGGATGCGGAGTACAAGCAGGAGAAGATCCACTGTGAGTGCAGGAAAGGGAGGAGGGGGGGGTAATGGTTTGGTAGGAAAGGGAAGCACTGGCCGTGTGCTTCCTACTCCCCATAATGCTGATGGCGATAGAGGATGCCGAGTACAAGCAGGAGAAGATCCACTGTGAGTGCAGGAAAGGGAGGAAGGGGGGGTAGGGGCTTGGTAGGAAAGGGAATCGCTTGCCGTGTGCTGCCTGCTCCCCATAATGCTGATGGCCATAGAGGATGCGGAGTACAAGCAGGAGAAGATCCACTGTGAGTGCACAAGGGAATAAGTGTGTTTTTTCTTCTGTCTTCCGATCCATGTGTGTTTCTCCTCTGTCCCCTTTGTCGTACAATCTCGAATAACCACCCACCTTAACCATGTGCCTTTCCTTCCCAGTCTGGCAGTCGGTGTACGGGTTTGACATGAGCTGCATCCGAGACAAGGCCATGCTGCTGCCCATAAAAGGAAGGTTATGAGAGCCTCCCCTCACTGTATGTGTGTGTTTCTTCCTCTCCCCCTGCACTGCAGTCTGGCAGTCGGTGTACGGGTTTGACATGAGCTGCATTCGAGACAAGGCAATGTTGGAGCCTTCCACGTGTAGTAGTCCCTCACCATGTGTCCACTCTTCCTTTCCTCCCCATCTCCCGCATGTGTTTCCTTCCCAGTCTGGCAGTCGGTGTATGGCTTTGACATGAGCTGCATTCGAGACAAGGCCATGTTAGAGCCTCTAGTCGACACTGTGGACGCAGAGCAGATCGTCACCAACTCTTGCCTTGTCAAGGTGAGAGAAGAAGGACCCTCGTGCACCCCTTAGGACCCACACGCACCACTCCCTCTCTCTACTCGTCGCTCGTTTGAGACAAGGCCATGTTAGAGCCTCTGGTCGACACTGTAGACGCAGAGCAAATCTTCACCAACTCTTGCCTTGTCAAGGTGAGAGTACTAGGCTTCTCATTACCACTCCTTTTAAAGCTCTAAACCCTGAGCCCTGGAATGACTTTATTCGCATCCTCCCTCCGTCCGTTCTTTATAAACTGCTCCTTTGTCCCCTTCTTTCTCTCCCCCCCTTGCCGTTTCACCAGTCGCTTGACATCAGCAAGGTGACAAGGGACAATCTCTCCTTCTCAGTGCCGTTCAAGCTCGTAGCAGAGCGGAATGTCTTTCTGCATGCGCTGTTACTCACTTCTTCCCTCCTGCCCCCCCCCCCTTTCCACCAACACCAGTCGCTCGACATCAGCAAGGTGACACGTGGTGATCTCTCCTTCTCAGTGCCGTTCAAGCTCGTAGCAGAGAGGAATGACTTTGTGCATGCGCTAGTGGCCTACTTTGACGTTGGCTTCACCAAGTGCCACAAGCCTATTGGCTTCTCAACAGGTAAGCACACATCTAACCATTGACTTTGGGCTTCTTTTTGGTTAGATCCCCTCTTCTTCCCACTCCATTGGCAATCTCTTTCATATATTTTCTTCACTCAATTCCTTACGCCATTCTCATTGTTTCCCATCCATCTTTATATAGATACACATTTATTTATATGAATCTACCTTTACCGGGTGCTGTGATAATTTCCGCAGGGCGTAAGAGCCGGGGCACGCATTGGAAGCAAACAGTGCTATACTTGGAAGACACCCTAACTATGTGTGAAGGCGAAGCGGTTACCGGAACCATGCAAGTGAAGCCAAATGCGAAGAATCCCCGTGATCTTGACATATCAGTGACTTACAAGTTTGATGGTCGTAGAGGTAAGGCTTCGCGCACCCAACATTACCGCATGCGGTGATGTGGGTAGTGCGTGCACCTGGGATTAGTTGTTGAAAGTGTTTTTTTGTTAGTTAATTATTTTTGCAGAAAGGTGTATTACAGCCATTTTTATGATCAATTTTATATGTTCAAGGAAAGTGATTATTTTCTGGTTTGTGAAGTGCTTCAGAAAAACAAGGTGGTCGTTAGCGAAGTTCGTGTTCCAGCCCCGAGCGGCTGGTTTACATCCTAGCACGGTTGGGTCGGGTTTTGAGGGTGAATTTGAATCAAACAACCTCATCATGTGCTTTTGCACCTAGGGATTGCCATCACTCCGACGGATGTTTAGCAGCAGATGGCTCTTCCACCTTGCCGGTCGGAGTTTTAGACCATCGACTGAAGTCCCTTGGCAGAAGCACCGTTTACAGATGACAATCTCGTGTCGCTCTTCTGAGTGATTTCCCCTTTACAAGCCACGCATGGTTCCGCTTTAAATTCAGAGTACCAAATACCCCCAAAGCGTCTCGTCCTGAACATCTCCCGTGGGAGCCCGTCGGTTAAAATCCTTTCTCGCAGAATCCTTCCAGAATCCCTACAAAATCCCCTGAGAGTCCTTACAGACTCTGAAGAATGACTCTTTGCTGTCCAAAGTGTGTTCCAATGCGTCTTCCCGCCTGTACCGCTCGTGCTGCTCTGAATCCGCACGAGGAGTTACTGATCAGGTGCCAGAATTTAGTCGTCAATCCAATCCCGAGGCTTCTTGGGATTCCGGCTTCCAAACCATACCTCGGCTTACAACGCGGATGTAATGTAGCACACCGCGGGTTCAATATACAGCACAGATACCTCGGCGTACAACGCGTACAAACTAGATACAGCTTGCAGCGTTGGGGTACTGATGCGACGAAAAAGCGAGGCTATTTGGAGGAAAACGAGGCTCACAGTAATGGGGGTGGGGATGGAAGGGAAGCTTCGAGATTTGCCGTTGGGACTATGGCGCAGGACAGAGAGATGATTCTGGAGGCGCCTCGGGGATTGGATGAAGAGGAGGGCAGACTCGGAGGGGCAGGGCGTACGAAAGAGGATACGAGAGAGGGTAGGATAGAGGATGAAAGAGATTTTAGGAGTGAGGGTAGGAGATTAGGGGATGGCGTATTCAGACAGGTATGGAGACGGGGAGAGAATTCGCGCATTCCCAGGAGAGGGGAGAATAAGCATAGAATACGGAGTAATCAGAGGATGGAAGATATGAATTTCAGGAATTCTGAGGGTATTGTTGACGAAAAGGGAGGGATCGGGGTGATGACTGATGGCGAAGCAGACAGTGTGTCGGTGACTCTCATGGATGCTAACTCTCACGTTGTACTCGTTAGTAGCAAAGCGGGTTTCCATCCACACGATGGTGCACCAACTGGGTCAACCGCATGGCGGGAGCAGAATCCAGGGAGGCAGGAGGCGAATCCAGCCAAGCAGAATGAGAATCCAGCGAGCCAGAGTCCGAATCAAGTGAGGCACAACCAGAGTCCAGCGAGGCAGCAGCTGCTGTACCTGGAAAGGTGTGGGAGAGAGGGGAGAGCAGCCGAGGCATTGATGATGCTGGGAGTGATGGAAGGGGAGGAGGGTGTGGGGGAGGAGGAAGAGGAGGGGGAGGAGGGGGAAGAGGGAGAGGAGGGGGAGGAGGGGGAGGAGGGAGAGGAGTGGGAGGAGGACGAGGAGGAGGACGAGGAGCGGGAGAGGAAAGAGGAGGGTTACAGAGCGAGAGGGCATGGGGGATTAGGTGGTGAAAGAAGGGGAGGTGAGGGAGGGGTGAGAGTTGACAGGAGTTGGTTGAGTGCAGCAGCTTTCTGTCATGCCATGCGTGCCCTGCTCAATGCAAATTGGCCGCTGACCGCATTCAGACGTGCTGACGTGGACATTGAGTCGGTGCCAGCTGGCAATCGTCGTTCATCACCTTCTGTGTCTTCTTTTGGACGAGTGTCAGATGCTGCGTCAGCGCTCGCCGCCCGGATGGCAGCAGTCGGAGTCATACCCAACCGGCAGTTTTGTCTTCATCTGGTGGAGGCTTATCTGAGGGACGGGAGGGTGGAAGAAGCGGAGGAGGCGTGTGAGAGAGTGAGGGAGGAGGGGTGGAAGGTTCCCGGGAAGGTTCTGAGAAGGATTGTGCGGGCTTGGGCTAGAGAGGGGAGAGCAGGGGAGGCAGAGGAAGGAGTGAGGGCGATGGTGAAAGAAGGGGTGCAATTGGATGTTGCCACGTGTAACAGCATGATTGGGCTGTATGCTCGTGTGGGGGCGTATGACAAGGCAGGGAGAGTGTGGGAGTGGATGGAGGAGAATGGTGGAGAAGAGGAGGAGGAAACGGAAGGGGAGTGGGGAGTGAGAGGAGGGGAGTGGGAAGAGAAAGGAGGAGGGGAAGAGGCGAGGAAGAGGAGGAGGGGAAATAATTGCACTCCAACTGAAGCAACGTATCGTGCCCTCATCCGCATGTGAGCGTGGGACTCAGTGTGTGAACGCATGTTATGAAGATGTGTCTCGGTGTTCCCTCACACAGTCACCTTTTACACCTCCCAGCCTCGGTGCCTCTGTTCAAAAGCTGCAGCATTGTGCCTTTTCTGTCTGCCTGTGCCATCAAAGCATCGTACGGTTGAAGCCTATGGCAGAAGCATCTTCACCCACGTGCTGAATGCCATACCATGCGTGCACGTTGTACCTTTTCACATACTTGGTGAATTCCGCATACCATACCAGGTACACCCATGCGGGCATGCCCAACCAAGCCATACATGTGTTGCATGCCATGAGCGCAGGTGGCCTGACATGGACGGATGGAGGGATGGCCTGTAATGCATGTAATGCTTGGTATACACCCCCACACCACACCAGGTACACCCGTGCGGGCATGCCCAACGAAGCCATCCACGTGCTGCAAGCCATGAGCGCTCGTGGCCTCCCTTGGAGGGATGGCCTGCTGGCGTCTGTCATTCGCTGCCTTGCCACTGCTGGCAGGTGGAGAGACGCTCAAGGTGAGTCACTGTGGTTCTTCTCATGCTCTCCCCTTGCGGGCATTCCCAAAGGAGCCATCCACGTGCTGCAAGCCATGAGCGCTCGTGGCCTCCCGTGGGGGGATGGCCTGCTGGCGTCTGTCATTCGCTGTCTCGCCACTGCTGGCAGGTGGAGGGATGCGGAAGGTGAGTTCTGGTAAAAACCTGCTACAAGGTCATTGGAACCCTGAAGTTAGGTCAGTAATAGCTGGGGTACAGGGTTTTGTTGCCATTTTTCCGTGGAGTGATGGCCTGCTGGCGTCTGTCATTCGCTGCCTTGCTGCTGCTGGCAGGTGGAGAAGACGCTGAAGTCACTGTGGTTCTTCTCGTTTCTCTCCTGCCTTGCCTGCCAGGGTTTCTCACTTCACGTTTCTCTCCCTATATCTGTCCGCCGGCCCTGTTCCCCATTCCAGTCTTATTTCGTGAAGCACAACACACGCCCCACTGCCTATTTCATTCTGCACATGCAAGATTCATCTCTCCCCTTTCCCCCTCCTCTCTCTCCCCTTTCCCCCTCCTCTCTCTCCCCTTCCCCTTTCCAGACCTGTTTTACAAAGCACAGCGGGTGGCCGAAGCCCTCGCTAGCGAAGCTTTAGCTGAACCAGCATTGCAGGCTCGGCCCGAACCTGTGGTCTGGAGAAATATCCAGCTCGAGACTGCAGCTTTGGGATCGAGCATAGCGTCGAGTGCTGCTTGGAAAACGAAAGAGCTGGAGCCCGCAGGGTGGGAGGAGCACGGGGGAAATGATGCTTTGGGAAGAAGGGAGTTCAAGCCTGCTGCGTGGAAGAACCAGGAGGAAGTAGTAGGCGAGCAGTCTTACAAGGCTCTTATGAGTGCTTACCAACGGGCAGGGCAGGCGGAGAAGGCTGAGGAGCTGCTGCTGGCTATGGAGAAGAGAGGTGAGAGGAGGGGCGAGGCAAGGAGAGGAGTGGACAGGAGAGGAGAGGCGTAATCCAGCAAAGGGAAGTGGTAGGCGAGCAATCGTACAAGACCCTGATGAGGTGCTTACCAACGGGCAGGGCAGGCAGAGAGGGCTTAGGAGCTGCTGCTGGCGATGGAGAAGAGAGGTGAGATGGGGAGAGAGGTGAGAGGAGGATAGAGATAGATGTGAGAGGAAAATAGAGGTGCGGGGAGAGAGATGAGGTAGGAGTGGGGGAGGAGGAGAAATGTGGGTGGAGAGAGTGGGGAAGGGAGGGCCAACATTCGCTTGCTCTCCTCTCCTCCTCCCGCTCCACGTATCTTCTTCTCCCTTCCCCTTGACTCACATCACATGAGCTTTTGAGACGCCTTATAACCTCTCTACCACATGGTCACGTGTAAGAAGAAGTGTTTTGAGACGTCTCGAAATGCTTCTTCATACATTTGAGACGTCTCAAAAGTCGTCTTATAACCTCTACCACATGGTCATGGTCATGGACGCATATGGAAGGTTGGGTCGGGATGGCAACCTTTTCTTTCCTCTCCCCTCCTCCTCCCTGTCCTTGTTGCTCTTTCTCCCCCCTTTCATTGGCCCCTTTACTCCAGGCATGCCCCTGACAGCCGACCTGTACCATATGGTCATGGACGCACATGGCAGGGTAGGCATGGAGGACTAACCTTCTTTACCCTTTCTCTTTCTCTCTCCTCCTCCTTGCCGCTTTGTTCCAATCCAGGCATGCCCCTGACAGCGGACCTGTACCATATGGTCATGGACGCACATGGCAGGGCAGGCAACACAGCAGCTGCAGAGGCCATTCTGGAGAGACAGCTCAACCACTCCAGGCAACTGTCTGCCGAACCACTTGCCGAACCATCTGCCGAACCATCTGCCGAACCATCTGCCGTGCCATCCACCGAATCCTCCGCTGAACCTTCCTTGTCAGCATCAGACCCAGCAGCAATAAGTTCCAGATTTGATGACGATGTTATGTCAGCCACAAGCACCACGTCATCCAGTGCCACGTCATCCAGTGCCACGTCATCCAATGCCACGTCAGCATCATCAACAGCCACCCCACCGTTTGCGCCGCCCAGGCCGGACATCGTCCAGCTCACCTCCCTCGTGCACGCATACCTGCGGGAGGGAAACTTCCGGGAAGCAGCAGTGCGTGTGCGGCAGATGCGGGAGCTTGGGCTGGTCCCCACCTACAAGACGTGGGCCACTGTTGTGGGCGGTGCTGCGCGGTGTCAGGATTTAAGGGACTGCTTCTCTCTACTAGAAGCGCTCTCCTTTGTGGGGTTTGACGTTCCTGAGAGGTAAGTCAGGGGTGAGGCTGGGGCTGGTGCCCACATACAAGACGTGGGCCACTGTTGTGGGCGGTGCTGCGCGGTGTCAGGATTTAAGGGACTGCTTCTCTCTACTAGAAGCGCTCTCCTTTGTGGGGTTTGACGTTCCTGAGAGGTAAGTCAGGGGTGAGGCTGGGGCTGGTGCCCACATACAAGACGTGGGCCACTGTTGTGGGCGGTGCTGCGCGGTGTCAGGATTTAAGGGACTGCTTCTCTCTACTAGAAGCGCTCTCCTTTGTGGGGTTTGACGTTCCTGAGAGGTAAGTCAGGGGTGAGGCTGGGGCTGGTCCCCACGTACAAGACGTGGGCCACGGTGGTGGGCGGTGCAGCGCGGTGCAGAGATCTATCAGACTGCTGCTGTCTGTTGGAAGCTCTGTCTTATGTGGGCTTTGACGTTCCTGAGAGGTAAGCTTGGGATGATCCCCTCCCCACCTACAAGACGTGGGCCACTGTGGTCGTTCATTCATCAGTGCTCTCACCCTGGACTGCTGCTGTCTGTGTAATGAGGTTATTTTTGAGACGTCTCAAAATTAACCTCATTGCACTGTGGTGGTTCATTTATCAGTGCTCTCACCCTGGACTGCTGCTGTCTGCTAGAAGGTAGCATCTCACCTTTGTGTAATCGATTTTTAAGACGTCTCAAGAAGCATCTCCTCTCCTCTCCTCTCCTCTCCTCTCTCCTCTCTCCTCTCCTCTCCTCTCCTCTCTCCTCTCTCCTCTCCTCTCCTCTCCTGTCCTCTCCTCCCCTCTCCTCTCTTCTCCTCTCCTCTCCTCTTCTCTCCTCTCCTCTTCTCTCCTTTTTTCTCTCCCATCCGCCCCTCTCCTCTCCTCTCTTCCCCTGCCCCCCCCTGCAGGCTACTCCTCCAGTGTGACGACGACACCTGGACGGATATCGACAGTCTGCTGACGTGGCTGCTGGAGAGGGATGCCAGCTGGAGCCGACAAATCGCCACAGAAGGGAGCAATGCTGAAAAGGGGGAAACGAGTGGCGTCAGGGAGGGGAGTGCAGGTCGGAACGCAGAGGGAAGTGTGGCGGAGGGCAGTGCAACGAGGAGCGCAGAGGAAAGTGTGGCAGAGGGGAGTGCAACGAGCAAGAGCATGGTGAATGAGGGCAGTGCAGCGAGGAGCACTGTCAACGTGCTGATAGACCTGCTGTGGTGCTTCGGCCAGCGAGCCAGGGCCCACCGCCTCTTCCTCCTCTCGACCCACCGCGGCGTCTATCCCCGATTCACTGCCCGGTGGGTGCTGTGCGGTGGTGTGGGGTAGGGTGGTCTATAGTTGAGGTGTGTATGGTCAAGTCAACGTGCTGGTGGATCTGCTGTGGTGCTTCGGCCAGCGAGCCAGGGCCCACCGCCTCTTCCTCCTCTCGACCCACCGCGGCGTCTATCCCCGATTCACTGCCCGGTGGGTGCTGTGCGGTGGTGTGGGGTAGGGTGGTCTATAGTTGAGGTGTGTATGGTCAAGTCAACGTGCTGGTGGATCTGCTGTGGTGCTTCGGCCAGCGAGCCAGGGCCCACCGCCTCTTCCTCCTCTCGACCCACCGCGGCGTCTATCCCCGATTCACTGCCCGGTGGGTGCTGTGCGGTGGTGTGGGGTAGGGTGGTCTATCGTTGAGGTGTGTATGGTCAAGTCAACGTGCTGGTGGATCTGCTGTGGTGCTTCGGCCAGCGAGCCAGGGCCCACCGCCTCTTCCTCCTCTCGACCCACCGCGGCGTCTATCCCCGATTCACTGCCCGGTGGGTGCTGTGCGGTGGTGTGGGGTAGGGTGGTCTATAGTTGAGGTGTGTATGGTCAAGTCAACGTGCTGGTGGATCTGCTGTGGTGCTTCGGCCAGCGAGCCAGGGCCCACCGCCTCTTCCTCCTCTCGACCCACCGCTGCGTCTATCCCCGATTCACTGCCCGGTGGGTGCTGTGCGGTGGTGTGGGGTAGGGTGGTCTATCGTTGAGGTGTGTATGGTCAAGTCAACGTGCTGGTGGATCTGCTGTGGTGCTTCGGCCAGCGAGCCAGGGCCCACCGCCTCTTCCTCCTCTCGACCCACCGCGGCGTCTATCCCCGATTCACTGCCCGGTGGGTACTGTGCGGTGGTGTGGGGTAGGGTGGTCTATCGTTGAGGTGTGTATGGTCAAGTCAACGTGCTGGTGGATCTGCTGTGGTGCTTCGGCCAGCGAGCCAGGGCCCACCGCCTCTTCCTCCTCTCGACCCACCGCGGCGTCTATCCCCGATTCACTGCCCGGTGGGTGCTGTGCGGTGGTGTGGGGTAGGGTGGTCTATCGTTGAGGTGTGTATGGTCAAGTCAACGTGCTGGTGGATCTGCTGTGGTGCTTCGGCCAGCGAGCCAGGGCCCACCCCCTCTTCCTCCTCTCAACCCACCGCGGCGTCTATCCGCGATTCACTGCTCGGTGGGTGCTGTGCGGTTGGATGGTCTGGGGTTGAATGGTGTCTGGTTGAGGTGTGAATGGTTGGGCGGTCAATGCAGTGTCTAATCCAGCCCCCTGTTTTTCTTATATCGCTGCCTGTCTCCCCCTTTCTGTCCATCCCGCCTCCCACCAGGGCTGCTCCTGAGGACTGGAAGCTGGATGTGCGCACTCTCTCACACATCCTCCCCTCCCCCCCCCCCTGCCTCGCCCCTCACTATATATTCCTTCTCCTGCCTTTCACCAGGCCTGCTCCTGAGGACTGGAAGCTGGATGTGCGCACGCTCTCCCCCCCCATTCCCCATTCCCCCCTTGCATCTCAACGAGCGTTCCCGCTGCCCTCCGTCCTGCCTCTGCATTGTGTCTTTCTTTCCTCTGTCCATCCCGCCTCCCACCAGGGGACTGGAAGCTGGATGTGCGCACGCTCTCCCTGTGAAAGTAGCAAATTGAACAAGTCATTAGATTAGAGGAACAACCTAGCATACATAGTTGGAAGGGAAGGTTGGAAGGGAAGGATGAAAGTGACCATAGGTTGGGTTGACCTCACTTGGGGAAGTGAGGGAACCATAGGTCAAGTGGGTTGGGTTGCCCACACTTTGTAGAAGTGAGGCAACCCTAGGCCCACTTGGCTTGGGGTAACCTCAATTGTGGGAAGTGAGGTACCCACAAGTCAAGAGGGTTGCATTTGGGGGCTCCACCACAATTGGGTGGATTGGCACCCCAAAGTGCAAGACTACACCCAAAGTTGGGTGTAGTCCCAACCCAACTGTACACCACAATTGGTGTACAGTCACATGTGTTGGCATGCTACACAATATATATTTTAACACAACCCCTTAGCATGCTAACACAAGAAGAGAACAACCCCTGAATCAAGGGGCGCCCGGGCGAGCAAGGCCAATGAGGCGGAGGAAGGCAGAGTGCGCGGGGCGAAGGAGGGCCTTAGTGAAGATGTCGGCCAAGTTGGCCTCGGTTGCAATCTTGCGAACGGCAATGAGGCCCTTCTGGACGAGCTCGCGAACGAAGAAGTAGCGGAGTTCGATGTGCTTGGAGCGGGCGTGATAGACGGGGTCCTGAGTGAGATGGATGGTGCTGGCGTTGTCGCACCAGAGAGTGGGGCACGTCTGGGGGGCGCCAAGCTCCGCAAGAAGGAAGCAGAGCCAGCGCGACTCCTGGGCGGCCATGGTGCCAGCGTAGAGCTCGGCTTCGCAGGTGGAGAGAGAGATGGCGGAGGAGCGGGTGGAGCGCCAGCTGATGAGGCCGCTGCCAAGGGTGAAGCCGTAGCCCTGGGAGGAGCGGCGGTCCGGCTGCGTGTCAGCCCATGAGGAGTCACTGAAGCCCGAGAGAAGGGGACGGGAAGGGCCGCCGAGGGTGAGGGCAAGGTCCCTGGTCCCGCGAAGGTAGCGGAGGACCCGCTTGGCAGCTTTCCAGTGCTCCTCAGAGTGACGACCGGTGCCGACAAAGCGAGCGAGCACGCTGATGGGGTAGGCGAGGTCGGGGCGGGTGCACATCATTGCGTACATCAAGGACCCAACGAGCTCGGCATAGGGGTGGGGGGAGGAGGTGGGGGAGGTGGGTGGAGCGAGTTGGTGACCGAAGGGGAGCGGGGTGGAAACAGGCTTGGCTTGCGCCATGTCGAACTTCTCCAAGACCTGGCCGATGTAATGGGACTGGGAGAGGGTGATTGTGCGAGCAGGGCGGTTGCGCGTGATGGTCATGCCGAGGTAGTGAGTGAGGGCGCCAAGGTCCTTGCACTTGAGCCGCCGCTGCAGGGACAGCTTCACCTGCTCCATGTCGGCCTTGGTGTCAGAGAGCAGGATCATGTCGTCGACATATACCAGAATGAAGAAGCGGCGGGGGGAGGAGCGGATGAAGAGGCTGGCGTCGGAGTGGGAAGCAGAGAAGCCGAGGGACCCCAAGGTGGCAGCCAGCTTCGCATGCCACTCATGCGGTGCCTGCTTCAAGCCGTAGACGGGGCGACGCAGCTGCCAGACAGTGTTCTCAGGAAAGGCTGCGTGGAACCCGGGGGGTCGCCGGAGGAAAATGCGCTCATGCAGGTCGCCCTGCAGGAACGCATTGGAGACGTCCATGGAGTCGATTTCCATGTCGTCACGTGCACCAATGTCCATGGCGGCGCGAAGGGTGGGTGGTTTGGCGATGGGGGCGTAGGTGAACCAGTAGTCCTCAGCCCAAGTCTGCGTGAACCCCTTGGCGCAGTAGCGGGCCTTGTACACTGGTTCCTCGCCCGGCAGCTGCTTCACCCGAAAGACCCATTTCCCGTCCACGAGGTTGGCGCCGGCTGGGAGGGGGACATCGACAAAGGAGTCGTTGCGAATGAATGCCTCACACTCCAGGAAGATCGCTGCTATCCATTTATCCGCGTCAGGGCAGGTGATGGCTTCCTGGAAGGTGGAGGGAGTGAAGATGGTGGGGGTGGTGGTGGCGCCAATGACAGGAAAGCCCAGGACGTCAAGGTAGAGGGAGGCAAGGAACGGAGTGTGCTCCCGAATGTTGAGGAACTCCTCATGGGAGTCCTCAAGGAGCTGAATGGAGGCAGGAGGAGGAGCCCCAAGGATTTTGTCCACCGAGCGGGTATGGATGTAAGGGAGGAGGAAGGGGGAGGAGCGGGAAGTGGCACGGCGCCGCTGCTGCTGCTGGTGCTGCTGAAGCTGCTGCCCTTGTTGTTGCGGCTGCTGCGGACCGTGCTGCTGCTGTGTCTGCTGCTGCTGTCCCGGTTGCTGCTGTTGCGGCTGCCCCGGCTGCTGCTGCTGCTGCTGCTGCTCCGGCTGCTGCTGCTGCTGCTGCCCCGGCTGCCGTTGCTGCTGCTGCTGTTGCCCCTGCTGCCGTTGCTGGTGTTGCTCCGGCTGCTGCTGCTGCTGCCGCGGCTGCTGCTGGTGCTGCTGCTGCCCCTGCTGGTGCTGATCCGGCTGCTGCTGCTGCTGCTGCTGCTGCCCCTGCTGTTGCTGATCCGGCTGCTGGAAAGGAGGAGAATGAGAGGAGGAGGGAGAGGGGGGAGGGGGTGCAGTGGAGTGAGCGGGAGAGGCGGGTGCGGCAGGGTTGTAGACGTCGGCAGAGGAGGAAGGCGGGAGTGGAGCGGCGACAGGTGGGAGGAGAGGCGCTGGAGGGAGAAGAGGCGGGAGGACGGTGTCGGTCCAAGCGAGGGGGCGAGTGGGAGGAGGGAGGGGGTCAGGAGGAGGGGTGGAGTAGTAGGGAGTGGACTCGTCGAAGACGACGTCAATGCTGCGGATGATGCGATTGGTGGGAGGGTGGAGGAATAGGTAGCCAGGGGAATCACGATTGTGCCCAAGGTAGACACACTCCAGAGCGCGAGGAGCGAGCTTGCCAGCAGCGCGGGAGCGGTCGGCCGGTGGAATGAGGACGAACGCCTTGCAGCCCCAAACACGAAGGCCTGCGGTGTCAGGCTTGGCCTTGGACCAGAGTTCTGTGGGGGAGGAGGAGGGATGCTGAGGGTGGGAGCGGAGATTGAGGAGGAGGGCGGCATCAATGAGAGCATAGCTCCAGAGGGAGGGAGGGGTGGAGGCGTGAGCAATGAGGCAGCGCGCAATCTTGGTGATCTCACGGATGCGACTCTCAGCGATGCCGTTTTGCTGAGGGGAGTGGGGAAGGGTGGAGGTCTGCTGAATGCCGTATGTTTTGCAGTAAGTGGAGAGAGTATGATTGATGAACTCACCCCCACCGTCAGAGTGAAGGCGGCCTATGGGACGTTTGAAGTGGTTGCGGCACTGCTCAGCCCAGTTGATGACCACAGCCGGCACCTGGTCTTTCGTGTGAAGAAAGAAGACGGTGGAGTACCGACTGTGGTCGTCGAGGAGCACGAGCATGTACCTGTGCCCCTGACGAGAGCGGATGGGATAAGGGCCCCAGAGATCCATGTGAACAAGGTCAATGGGGGCGGGAGCGAAGGTGGGGTGACTGTGATGGGGGGACTGTTTGAGCTTGCCATGAATGCATGATGGGCATGGGGGAGCAGGGGAGGAGGGGAGGGGAGGTAAGGTGGGAGGAAGGCTGTTAAGGAGGCGAGAGGTGACGGTGGAGCGAAGTGCGGCGAAGTTGGGATGGCCGAGTCTGTGATGTAGGAGCACCGCAGGATGGGAGAGGGCAGTAGAGGAGGAGGGGGATGGGGTGGGGGAAAAGTTGGGGGGGGAGGAGGAGGCGGATGGAGTAGAGGAGGAGGATATCGGAGGGAGAGGGAGAAGGGGAGGGGGAGGGTGAGGGGGAAGAGGAGGGGGAGGGGGAGGGAGAAGGGGACCGGTGGAAGTACCAGCACGAGTGGTGACGTGACAAAAGGAGGGACGGGGTGTGCGGAGCGTGTAAAGGCGAGTGCGAGGGCAAAGGGGAATGCGCAGGAGGAAACGACCAGAGGCGGTGTGGTAGAGATCGCAGTAGGAAGCAAAGCCAGGGTATATGGCGGTAATGCCAACGCCTTGGAGTTCACGGTGGGAGAGGAGGTTATTGCGAAGGGTAGGGATGTGGAGACCGATGACTGTACCGGATGGGAAGGCGGTGCAAGGAAGGGTGGAGAGGTGAGTGCAGGGGATGGAAAAGCTGGAGTCGGCACCATGAACCTGGGTGGGAAGTGGAAGGGGGGTGAGGGTGCCAGCGTCTTTTAGTGCGGTTTCGGTGGCCCCACTGTCAAGGACAAAGTCCAGGGTGGGGGGGGAGGGAGGGAACACAGAGTACTGGAGAGTTGTTTCATGGATAGAAGAGGGAGAGAGCGGCGGGTGCTGCTGCTGTAAGTACTGTTGCTGCTGCGGCTGCCGCGGTGGGAGAGACTGTGACGGTTGCGGCTGGAGAGATTGGGCTGCTGCTGCTGCTGGAAGCACCGCCGATGCTGCCGCGGTTGCTGCGGCTGGAGAGATTGTGGGGGCTGCTGCTGCTGGAAGCACTGCTGCTGCTGCGGATGGAGAGAACTGTGGCTGGTGCTGCTGCTGGAAGCACTGCTGCTGCTGCGGCTGAAGAAACTGTGGCTGCCGCTGCTGCTGGAAGGACTGCTGCTGCTGCGGCGGAAGGAACTGTGGCAGCTGCTGCTGCTGGAAGCACTGCTGCTGCTGCGGCTGGAGAGACTGTGGCTGCTGCTGCTGCAGGAAGGACTGCTGCTGCTGCGGTGGAAGGAACTGTGGCAGCTGCTGCTGCTGGAAGGACTGCCGCTGCTGCGGCTGGAAGGACTGTTGCTGCTGGGGATGGAGAAACTGTGGCGGGTGAGGCTGGAGAGATTGCGGCTGCTGTTGGTGTTGGAAGAACTGCTGCTGCTGCGATTGCCGCGGCTGGAGGAGATGTGGGGGGTGCGGCCGCTGCTGGAAGTCCTGCTGCTGCTGATGCTGGAGCTGCTGGAAACGCCGCAGATGGGGAGGGGGGGAGGGGGTGAGCAGGCGGAGATAAGGGGGGGGGGAGGAGTGGAGGGTCGGAGTGTTGAGAAGGGAGGGGCGAGGAGTAACACTGCTCCAGTGAGGAGGGGGGAGAGGGGCAGGGGGGGTAGCAGTCATGATGGGCGACGGCGGGTGGACCCGCGGCGGCCAAGGGTGAAGTTGCTGCTGCGGAGGCTGCTGCACATCCCCTGCTGCCGCTGCTGCTGTCGCTGGCAGGAGGAGGGAGGGGGGGGGGGGGGGTGGGGGGGGTAAAGGAGGGAGACAGCGGTGGAGGGCAGAGGCGTTCAAGGTGCAGGGAGCGACGGTGACAAGGGCGCAGGCGGCTGTGCGAACGTGCGGCGGCGGGAAGGGGAGGCGGTGGCAAAGTCGGGGGCGGCGGCGGCGAGCAGGCCGCGACGACGAGGGGCGCAGGCGACGGCGGAAGGGCCGCGGCGGCGAAACGAGGGACGGCGGCGGCAGGCAGGCCGCGGCAACGAGGGGCGCAGGGGGAGGGGGAGGGGGGGGGAAAGGAGTAGGGAGAGGAGGAAGGGAGGGTGCAGTTGCGGCTGAATCTGCAGGCGGCGACGGGGCAGTCACGGCGGCAGGAAGTGTGGGCGGGGATGGCGCGGTCGCGGTGGAGGATGGGCAGGCGGCGCCGAAGCAGTCGCGGCGGTAGGGCGGCGGCGGCGCAGTGGCGTTAACGGGAACCGCGGGGCGACGATGTTGCAGTTGCGGCGGGGGAAATTGCGGGAGGGTGGCGATGCAGAAGGGGCAGCGAGATGCGTGGGTGACGCGGAAGCAGGTGCGGCGGTCGGAGGGGAGGCGGCAATGCGAAATCGCGGCGGGGGGGGGGGGGGTGGGGGCGGGGAGGTGACGACGAGCAGTCGCGGCGGCGGAATGCGCAGGCGGCGATGTTAGGTCGCGGCGGCGGGACGGGCAGGGGGCGACGAGCTGTCGCGGCGGCGGGACGGGCAGACGGCGCCGAAGCAGGCGCGGCGGTGGGAAGGGGAGGCGGCGACGTGACGTCGCGGCGGAGGGACGGGCAGGCGGCGACGAGGCGTCGCGGCGGCGGGATGCGCAGGCGGCGCCGAAGCAGGCGCGGCGGCAGGAACGCGGCGACGAGACGTCGCGGCGGAGGGACGGGCAGGCGGCGACGAGGTGTCGCGGCGGCAGGATGCGCAGGCGGCGCCGTAGCAGGCGCGGCGGCGGGAACGCGGCGACGAGACGTCGCGGCGGAGGGACGGGCAGGCGGCGACGAGGCGTCGCGGCGGCAGGATGCGCAGGCGGCGCCGAAGCAGGCGCGGCGGCGGGAACGCGGCGACGAGACGTCGCGGCGGAGGGACGGGCAGGCGGCGACGAGGCGTCGCGGCGGCAGGATGCGCAGGCGGCGCCGTAGCAGGCGCGGCGGCGGGAACGCGGCGACGTGACGTCGCGGCGGAGGGACGGGCAGCGGGCAGGCGGCGACGAGGCGTCGCGGCGGCAGGATGCGCAGGCGGCGCCGAATCAGGCGCGGCGGCGAGAAGGGGAGGCGGCGACAGGGGGTCGCGGCGGGGGGGAGGAGGGGACAGCGGCGTTGCGCTCGCGGCGGTGGAATCCGCAGGCGAGGAAGGCGTAATCGCGGCGGGAGGGGGGGGGGAACGGCGGCGACGGCGTAGGTCGCGGCGAGAGTATGCTAGTGATGGCTAGTTGAGCCACGCGTAGGAAAGGGTTTGTAGCTGTGGGGTGGGCCCATGGGAAAAAAAAAAAAAAAACTGAAGGGAGGGAGAGGTAAGGCCTAGGAACAAGTAGCTCTATACCATGTGAAAGTAGCAAATTGAACAAGTCATTAGATTAGAGGAACAACCTAGCATACATAGTTGGAAGGGAAGGTTGGAAGGGAAGGATGAAAGTGACCATAGGTTGGGTTGACCTCACTTGGGGAAGTGAGGGAACCATAGGTCAAGTGGGTTGGGTTGCCCACACTTTGTAGAAGTGAGGCAACCCTAGGCCCACTTGGCTTGGGGTAACCTCAATTGTGGGAAGTGAGGTACGCACAAGTCAAGAGGGTTGCATTTGGGGGCTCCACCACAATTGGGTGGATTGGCACCCCAAAGTGCAAGACTACACCCAAAGTTGGGTGTAGTCCCAACCCAACTGTACACCACAATTGGTGTACAGTCACATGTGTTGGCATGCTACACAATATATATTTTAACACTCCCATCCTCCCCTTTCCCCCCCCCCCCCCCCTGCCTCGCCCCTCACTATGTATTCCTTCTCATGCCTCCCACCAGGGGGCTGCGCCTGAGGACTGGAAGCTGGATGTGCGCACTCTCTCCCATCCTCCCCTTTCCCCCCCCCCCCCTGCCTCGCCCCTCACTATGTATTCCTTCTCATGCCTCCCACCAGGGGGCTGCGCCTGAGGACTGGAAGCTGGATGTGCGCACTCTCTCCCATCCTCCCCTCCCCCTCCCCTCCCTGCCTCGCCCCTCACTATATATTCCTTCTCCTGCCCCTCACCAGGGCTGCTTCTGAGGACTGGAAGCTGGATGTGCGCACGCTCTCCCCCGGTGTAACGAGGTGACTTTTGAGTCGACTCAAAAGTCTTGTTCCCTATCCTCCGTCCTATGTCGTTCCTCTGTCCATCCCGCCTCCCACCAGGGCTGCTCCTGAGGACTGGAAGCTGGACGTGCGCACTCTCTCCCCTGGGGCTGCCCTCGTTGCTCTACACCACTGGCTCGACATGGTGCAGGTCAGTCACCCTCCTCTGCCCTGTCTCACCACTGCCATCTGTCGCTCCCTCCTCTACTTTCTTCTCCACCCCTGTCTCTCTCCCCTGGGGCTGCCCTCGTTGCTCTGCACCACTGGCTCGATATGGTGCAGGTCAGTCACCCTCCTCTCCCCCTTTCTCGCCTTTCACCCTCTCTGCCTCTTGTTTTTTATCTCTCTCCCCCCCCGCCACTGTTTCTCCCCGCTGCTGCCCTCATATCTCTGCACCACTGGCTTGACCTGGTGCAGGTCAGTCAACGCCTCTCCCCTGCGCTCACTTTCCCTCCTCTTTCTCTCTTTCTCCCCGCTGCTGCCCTCATTCCTCTGCACCACTGGCTTGACCTGGTGCAAGTCCGCTCCGCTTCCCTCTACTCCAATGATTAACCCTTCTCCTCCCTCTCCTCACTCTCTTATCACCCTTGCTTCTTGCCTCATTGCCCTGCCATGCCCTGCCATGCCCTGCCATGCCCTGCCCTGCCCTGCCCTGCCATGCATACTCCGCTCCGCCGTCCATGTCCGTCCATCCCGCTTATCCCCCTTCTCATCTCGACCATGCCGTCCCATCTCCACCACCCCCATCCCTGCCCTTCCATCCCCATCCATCCCCTCTCATCCCACCATCCCCTCTCATCCCACCATCCCCTCGCATCCCACCATCCCCTCGCATCCCACCATCCCCTCGCATCCCCATCCACTCCAACAGGACGCTGCTCTCCAGGGTGTTCCAGCGCCCCGCCACGTCAGCATCGTGACAGGTGGCATGCTGCAGCGCGTCACCAGCAGCAGCAGCAGCAACAGCGGCATGCCAGGTGGCAGCGTGTCATTGAAGCGCACTGTGCGCAGCTGGCTATGGGCCATGGGGGCACCGTTCCGAGCTGACGAGGACAGGGAGGGCGTGCTGACAGCTAGAGGCTATTCTGTGGAGAGATGGGTCAAGGTGAGTCAACATGGGTCAACGGGGGTCTGTTCTGGTGATGAAATCTGAGGCACCTGAAGCGCACTGTGCGCAGCTGGCTGTGAGCCATTCGGGCTTCGTTCCGAGGTGACGAGGACAGGGAGGGCGTGCTGACAGCTAGAGGCTACTCCGTGGAGAGATGGGTCAAGGTAAGTCAACGCAGGTCAATGGGGTCTCTTCTGGTGACAAACTTTGAGCCGCCTCGGAATCGTTGCAGCTGGCTGTGGCCCATGGGGGCTTCGTTCCGAGCTGACGAGGACAGGGAGGGCGTGCTGACAGCTAGAGGGTACGCCATTGAGAGATGGGTCAAGGTGAGTCAACACAGGTCAACCGGGAGTCAACACAGGTCAACGTCGGTCTGTTGTGGTTGGTGTGTGGGCCAGTGCAGCTGGCTGTGTTCCATGGGGCCATCTGGTTGCGGGTGGAAGAGTTGGGGGCATCTGGCGATGGAACGGACTTTAAGGCACCTCAAGAGTTGGGGGCATCTGGCCATGCAGCTGGGTGTGGGCCATGGGGGCTCCGTTCCGAGCTGACGAGTTGAGGGAGGGCGTGCTGACAGCAAGAGGGTACTCTGAGGAGCGATGGGTCAAGGTGAGTCAACAGGGGTCAACACGTTTCATGTGGTTTGGCCCGACCATTATGTGAGAGAATGCGTATGGGACAGTAGCTGCAGTCGCACAACACAGTCCTTCTGTTTTCCCTCCTCTCTCCATGCAGGATTCTCCGAGCTGTCAAGATCTATCCTTGGAAGATTCACCATTTCCTACACCAACCAACACCATGTGCACATATGAAAATGCTCTTATGCGCACTGATGTTGCGGCACTGTTACAAGAGCTAGACGAGCATGGGTTGTTGGATGGGAAAAGGGGACCTCCAAGGGTGATGTCGCGGCTGTTACGGATTAAAGAGGAGAAGAAGGACCAGTGGATAAAGATGCAGGCGGTGCTTACAGAGACTAGGGCGCAACGGGCTGCCAAGGCCAGGAAGAAACGTGACCGTAATAGGGAGCTTAGGAAGGCGCGGAAAACAAAAAGGTGATGTCTCTTATTTGTATGATCTCTTTGTGGTACATTCTGTAAATGATAAGCAGTTGACGAATCTGAACCCGTAGTAAATTTTAGAGCAAATGTTACTGCAATTTTACATTGTTCAGATTCTTTCTTGGTCTCCTTTCGGAGGGCTACTATCGCGTTTCTTTTCGCGGCAGGCTGCATTCATTCGTCCACGCACGACATGCTTTCTCATGCCGTGTCATAACAAGTTCAGCTATGTACGGCTCATAAAGGTTTTTAGGCGTTCTGAGTAGTGATGTTGAGAACTTAGAGCGGTTTAGTAAGGTGCGTGGAGCAAAACACAAACGCCCTGTCACTTCATCTGTGGCAGTCTTCCCACTCCTAGGGTTTCCAGTGTCTTCCTGACCTTTCTACTTACCTCGTACTTCCTACTCTCGCGCGCTGTCTTCCATCGTCGGCCTCTCTTGTCCCACTTCTCCCTTTCTTCCTCCTTACTAGTTGATACGCTTTGTTGTCGCTTCCTTTCTACATCGAGCTTGTATAATAAAAATCCGACACCATGCCGGCCACGGCGGGCCGCGTTCGCATGCCAGCGAACAACAGGGTGCACAGTAGCGCAGCCCTGCAAACGCACGGCATCTGGCAGAGCGCCATCGGGTACGATCCGTACGCTCCGGACGAAAAGAAAGCAGCCGACGGCGAGGATAACGCGTACGACAGCTTCCAAGGACTGCTGCAGCTCGCGAAATTGACGGGATCTGGAGCTGACACGTCTCGCGGTTCCTGCAAAAAATGCCATCGCGTCGGCCATTTGACGTTCCAGTGCCGGAATTTTCTGACGGCCAAGGAGGACGTTAACGTTCCGGCAGAGCTTGCCGGCGGGCTGGCCGGCCAGAAACGGCCGGGGATGGAATTCGCGGAAGAGGAGAGTGACGTGTCGCTTAGCGATGATGACGGTGACGGGGATTTGGCTGAAGCGGCGCGTTCTCGTGGTTTGATACCCTCGAAAGCTGGGGATGGCGCTTCGGAGAAGGAGAAGAAAGGGAGCGATTTGAAGAAGAAAGACAAGAAGAAAAAGAAGTCAAAGAAAAAGAGCAGCAGTAAGAGGAAGAGAAGAAAGTCTGACAGTTCAGACGACGACGATTCGTTATCAGATAGTGACGATGAAGATGATTCCTCGTCTTCTGACGAGGACAGGCGGAGGAGGCGGAGGAAAGGCAAGAAGGAGCGGAAGCGGAGCAGCAAGGGCAAGAAGTCTTCGTCTTCACGCAAGCACAGGAGGCGGAGAGACGAGAGTGAGAGTGAGAGTGAGGAGAGTAGTGGAAGTGAGAGCGAGGAGGTGTCTGATGACAGTGATAGCAGCGGTGGGGCGAGGAGGAAGAGGAAACGGAAGGATAAGGAGGGGAAGAAGAAGAAGCGGAGAGACAGGGACTGATTTTTGAGACAGTCTAAAAACTCGGAAGTAGTGGGAGTGAGAGTGAGGAGAGTGGTGGGAGTGAGAGTGAGGAGAGTAGTGGGAGTGAGAGTGAGGAGGTGTCTGATTCAGCAGCGGTGGGTCGAGGAGCAAGAGGAAGCGGAAGGATAAGGAGGGGAAGAAGAAGGGGAGAGACAGGGACTTGGTTTTGACTTCACCGTTGCTTTGCACTTACCAATGTTTTTAAGGTATCACTTCTGCTGGTTTTCTTGCCCACTGAAGCTTCTGTTAAAATAGATGTGAGAAAGTTTGTTTCAGTACAGCATTAATGAGGGGATATTTGTTCATATACGGTTACATACAATATTAGGTGCAGAGAAGCCGATAACGTGGACATTATGCCCTTGCATGGCGCTGCTCTGTCTGCAGCATTGCGCTGCTTAGAGTGGCACAGCAATCTCTCACAAACACTACCCCTACTCCTGCATTTACGTAATACAGTGCAAGCTACTTATTACATGAAACCACAGCTCTGCCCACTATTACCACATACCCACCGGGCCACCGACCACTCATTGCAGCCACTGCTCTGCTCACCCTATGCAACTCCCCTCACTGCGCTGATCCCAGATTGATGTGTAGCTTAGGGTGGCACTGCTTCACACCTTCCGTTCTGCTCCTTGCCCTCCTAGTGCTGCTGCCGCTGCTGCTGCTGCCGATGCTGCTGCTGCCGCTGCTGCTGCTGCTGCTGCTGCCGCTGTTGCTGCTGCCGCTGCTGCTGCTGCTGCTGCTGCTGCTGCTGCCGCTGTTGCTGCTGCTGCTGCTGCTGCCGCTGTTGCTGCTGCTGCTGCTGCTGCTGCTGCTGCCGCTGTTGCTGCGGCTGCTGCCCTTCCTCACTGCAGAGCAGTGCAGGTGCACAGCAGCACAACCACCCAAAGAAGCCTCAGCCCTGATGCCGCCAGTGCCTCAACTGCAGAAACCGTCCTCTCCGTTTCCCAGCCCAGGCCCGGTGCCCAACCCCAGGAAACACATGACCCTCCACAGAAGCTTCTACTGAACCTCTCAACCCCACAGGTTCAGGCCTCGGTCTCTCCTGGCTCGCAGGGAGAGCTGCCAGCTCGCTGCCGAACCTGGCTGCTCTGCTGGTAACATTGTTACAACAAGCTCCAGTAGACAGCTCATCTTCTTGTGCCAGAGCCGCCATTTTATCAGATTCAACAGGAGGGTCAGAGAGCACAGAGCGCCACTTAAAGCCCCCAGGGCTGCCTGGCTCGTGGGGCTTGAAGCTGGAAGCTGGGGGGGATGGGGTGGGCGAGGTGGTGGGTTTGGGTGTAGGTATGGGGACAGGCTTGGGAGCAGGCTTGGGGCTGGGCTTTGGGCTAGGCTTGGGAGCAGGCTTGGGACTGGGCTTGGGAACAGGCTTGGGAGCAGGCTTGGGAGCAGGCTTGGGAGCAGGCTTGGGAGCAGGTTTGGGAACAGGCTTGGGACTGGGCTTGGGAGCAGGCTTGGGACTAGGCTTGGTACTCGGGTCGGGGCTTGGTTCGGGGCTTGGTTTGGGAATCGGTTTGGGGCTAGGCTTGGGAGGAGAGGGCGGAGGCGCTGGAGCGTAGAGGCCGTCAGGAGTGGGGTTGATGAGGGGCTCCCGGCGAAGCATCTCGTAGAAGAGGTCGACCCACACGTCTGGCACCCCCGGCTGGCACCAGTGCAGACAGTCGGACCCTTTCTTCTTCTGGTGGGGTGAGGGAGGAAAGGAAGGGATAGTGGGAGTTAGGAGTGGTGTTGATGAGGGTTTGATTAGAGGTTCCCGGCGGAGCATCTCGTACAAGAGGTCGACCCACACGTCTGGCACCAATGACTTTTGAGGCGCCTCAAGGGTGGTACCGTACCAGTGCGACCCCTTCTTCTTCTGGTAGGGTTGGGGTTTGCAGTTAAAAAAGGGATAGATACGAGGGGAGGGGGAGAATGAGAGAAGCGTGCGCAATGGGGAAGGGATGGAAGGCGCTCATTGTGGTGATGTCCATGCAGTGAACTTGGGGAGCTTGGAGTGAAGACTTGGCTCACGTGTTTGAAGTAGTGTTTTGAGACGTCTCAAAACACTACGTCAAACAGTCAACTTGGGGAGCTTGGAGTGAAGACTGGGCTGACCTGACTCGGCTTGTACTTGGCTGCATTCTCTCCCAAACCACAATAGGTTACATCACCACACATGACTGGTAACCTCCCTCCCTTCCCGTGTAGCCACGTGGCACTCACCCCGCCCTTGGATCCGGGGATGTGTGCCTCGGGTCTGAATGCGCTCATTGTTGTGATGTCCATGCGACGAACGCCCGAGACTGGAGTGAAGACAGCAAGCATGTGAATGCCATACTTTCCTAGAACGCATGTATAGAAGCACATGTGGCACTCATTACCCCGTCCATCCTAGCACTCACCCCGCCCATAAAACCGCCAATGTGTGCCTCGAGTCGGAAGGCGCTCATAGTGGTGATGTCCATGCGACGAACGCACACAAGGCACACATAAGAGAAACCCCAAACATGTGCTATCCTAGCACTAACTCCCTCCCCATCATGTCACACGTGGCACTCACCCCGCCCATGAATCCTCCGATGTGTGCCTCGGGTCGGAATGCGCTCATAGTGGTGATGTCCAAGCGACGCACGCCCGAGGTTGGAGTGAAGACCCGTTGCTGGATGGGCAGAAAGAGCTTCATTTGCACGTTGGTGCGCTGTAGCTTGCCCATCTGTTGCTTGGGAGAGAGGGAAGGGTGAATGGGAAGGATAAAGTTGATGGGAGGACTTTGGAAGGGAAGACCTTCTGCTGGATGGGCAGGAAGAGCTTCATCTGTACGTTGGTGCGCTGTAGCTTGCCCATCTGAGGGGGAAGGGTGGGCGGGGGATGGGGAGGGGAGAGAGAGGGGAATGGAAAAGTGAGTGATGGGAAAAGACAGGGAAGACCCGTTGCTGGATGGGCAGAAAGAGCTTCATCTGCACGTTGGTGCGCTGTAGCTTGCCCATCTGGAGAGATAGGCGGAAAGAACGGGGGACGAGAGGGGGGAAGGGGAAAGGGAGTGATGAGAAAACAGTGAAGACCTTCTGCTGGATGGGCAGAAACAGCGGAAAGTCAAAGGAAGGAGGGGAAGGAAGGAGGTGGCATTGGGAGTGAGGACCTTCCTTTGGTTGCGCTGAAGTGTCACAGCTTGACAGGTGAAACTGGTCACGGCAGCTCCCTGGCCAACCATACGAAATAAATTAATAATAATAGTAATAGTAATATTAATAAGTATAACAACAACAACAGCAACAATAATAACAATAATAATAATAATTATTATTATTATAACAATAATAATACATCATTTCTTTTTTTTTGGTCTTGCTTCTCTAGCTTCACTTTTCAGAGAAAGACTGACCAGCCTCCCCTCACCCCGGTTTCCTCGTTGTCTGGCCACTGGCACACTGCCGACCCCCGAACCGAAGCTACCTATTCTGCCCTACCTCCTGCGCTCGCGTTTCAGCCTCACCTCGTTCGCATTCAGCAGCCTTGCAGGCGGCCCACACACGCCGTTGCCGCCAGCCTTCTGCATGGAACCTCCTACCCTCAAAACGGTCCGCTTTTGAGTCGACTCAAAAGCAGACCCTCCCGGAGATTGATACCTCGGGTATGTTCTGTACGGGACCTCCTACCCTCTCGCTCTCACCTCTTTCGCGTTCAGCATCCGACCAGGTGACCCGCACACGCCCTTGCCGCCAACCTTCTTGGCGTTGTGCTGGGGGGGAGCCGTCATGAAGAACGGAACAGGCAGATCCTTCCCCAACCTCTTGCGATTGCTGAAGTGCGTGCGAACGCTCGTCAGAGCTTGGCTGAGGGGTGAAAGGGGGCAGGTGGAGGGTACAGAGGACGATGAGGGGGGGCGGTCATGAAGAATGGTACCAGGAGCTCCTTCCCCAGCTTCTTCCGATTGCTGAAGTGCGTGCGAATACTTGTGAGAGCTTGGCTGAGGGGTGGATATGGGGAGGTGGAGGGTACAGAGGATGATGTGGAGGGGCGGTCATGAAGAATGGTATCAGGAGCTCCTTCCCCAACCTCTTGCGATTGCTGAAGTGCGTGCGAACACTCGTCAGGGCTTGGCTGCAGGAAGGGAGGCAGGAAGGGGGTTCATGGAGGGGAAGGTGGAGGAGATGGTGAGAGAGGGGAGGGTGAGAGGGAGGGTGAGAGGGAATGTGAGAGGGGAGGGTGCACAGGAACATGAGGGGGGGGCGCTCATGGAGAACGGCACTGGCAGGTCCTTCCCCTGCTTCTTGCAATTGCTCAAGTGCGTGCGAATGCTCGTCAGGGCTTGGCTGAAGGAGTGGAAAAGGGGAGATGGAGGGAGAGGGAGGGGGTTAAGGAGAGGGGTAGGTGGTCACATGCATCAGGGGCACCTTTTGCGGTTGCTGAATGCTCGTTAGGGCTAGGCTGGGAGGAAAATGGGGGAGATGGGGTTAGGCGGAAGAGGAGGAAACGGGAAGAGGAAGGAGAGGTGGTTTCGAGAAGCACTGCGTCCCACTCGTCCAAGTGGCGCGCCCACTGCAACTGAGGGCTGACTGAGGGTTGACTGAGGGCTGACTGAGGGCTGACTGAGGGTCGACTGAGGGCTGACTGAGGGCTGACTGAGGGCTGACTGAGGGCTGACTGAGGGCTGACTGAGGGCTGACTGAGGGCTGACTGAGGGCTGTTGGCGGAGTGCTCACCTGTGCGCCTGGTACTGGTCGAGGCTCAGCTTGCCCCACTTCTCATTCGTGTAGACCATGCGCGGCCCTTTAGAGAGCGAACGCCAGTGCGTGGTGGTCTCCAGCAGCACTGCGTCCCACTCGTCCAGGTAGCGCGCCCACTGCGGGTTGGGCGTGGCCACGTCTATCAGACAGTCGGCTGGGTTCGGATCCGTGATACCCCCCACCTTTGCTAGCATTGTGGCGTCTGAAGGGAGGGAGGCAATCCGGGGAGGCAGTGTGGGGAGAGAAGGGAGAGGGAGGAGTGGGAGGATAGGGCTAGGGAAGAGTTTCGAGCAGCGCTGCATCCCACTCGTCCAAGTAACGCGCCCACTGCGGGTTGGGCGTGGTGACGTCTATCAGACAGTCAGCTGGCTTGGATCGGTTATGCTTCCTACCTTGCCCAGCATTGTGGCGTCTGGAGGAGGAGGGGCAATGGAAGTAAGGGGGGGATTGGAAGGCGTGGGAGAGGAAGGGGTTATGCTTCCTACCTTGGCCAGCATTGTGGCGTCTGAACTATAGCTACAAACACCTCGGTTATAGCTACTAAAGCATTGTGGTCTGAAAGGAGCTTTGCCTCAGGGTTCGTTACTAACACCCACACAAAATCCCAAGAATATATACATATATGTCTACGTGTGTATATGTATGTAGTGAGTAAACGTACACATATGCACATATGTAGTGGAATACACATATGCCACCCCTCGATAATTACGACACCCAAAAGCCCACAAATTTATTCAACATACATACGTATACGTGTAGAAATATATATCATATGATGTATCGAGTGGGGGGTGTAGCGAGAGACGTACTCTGGTTTATCCTGACGAGGTAGTCGTCCCAGAGCATGACGATCTTGGCGTTTAGCTGGGGAATCGAATACACGTACGCCACCGCCTCGGGCGAATCCTTGGACCACACGCCGCCATCCAGCGTGCGCAGCTCGGGCTTCGGACTCACCCAGTACAGCTGGTTTATCTGTAGATACAATGGGAAGGCTTTGAGTTTAATTATTTCGGTTATATGCATGTAGACTAGGCGGTATTCTCGAGGCTGGTCTCTTCATCCTCAGATCCATCCAACGTGTGCAGCTCGGGCTTCGGACTTTCCCCCCTTCCTTCCCCCCCCCCTCACACACACACACATACACGCATGCACACAAACACCTGGCACAGCAGCGACGGGACGAAGTTAGTTCTCGTGAGCGAGTCGCCGATGGTCACACCCCTCCCTTCCACATACACGCACAAAAACTCACAACCTCCCCTCGCCCCCTCCTCCCCCCCCACACACACCTGGCGGCACGAAGCTGGCGCTCGTGAGCGAGTCTCCGATTATCGCAATCTGCTTCTTCTTTATTGGCTGATGAAACACTCACCCCCCCCCCCCCCCTCGTCCCCCCCCCCCCCACACACACCTGGCAGAGCAGCGACGGCACGAAGTTGGCGCTCGTGAGCGAATCGCCGATGATCGCATGTTTTGAGTCGACTCAAAGCACCCTCCCCCCTCCCTCTCCACCCATACACGTGAACACACCTGGCAGAGCAGCGACGGCACGAAGTTGGCGCTCGTGAGCGAGTCGCCGATGATCGCGATCTGCTTGTTCTTTATTAGCTGTCCGAAGTGACTGTAGCGAGTGTGATAGTGGGAGAAGGAGGAGAGCGGGGCATACGGAACGGGGAGCGGGAGTGGTGAGGGAAGGAGCGAGCGAAACATACAAACGAAGGAAGGGAAGAGAGAAGAGACAATGGGCTTCCCGATGGAATGGGATGGGCTGGCAAGGGATGGGGAGTGTATGCGACGTGACCACTTTCATTGAAAAGCGTAGCCTGCGCTCGTTCGTACGTACGTTCGGTTGAACCGCACTATTCTCTTGCAGCTTGTCGAATACCACGAGTAGCGAACGTACGCGTTGTCCGGCCGGCCGTTCGTAGTGCAACGGGTCAAGTTGAACTGCAAACGGAAACCGAAAAGCCAGTGCCCTCTTCAATTCTCCCGTGAAACAGAATGAGACCGAGATTACCAACATACACAGCAGTGGAAGTCAGAACTCCACAGAGCAAGGCTCATAAATCGGAAACCTTACCAGAAAGGGGCACGAGTCTTGATACGGCGGGCGGTTGCCGTCAACTACCCACCGGCCTTCGAAAAGATTGCAAACCGGGGCTGACGCGGCCGGCAAAATCACCGGACAGAAGGCAGTGGCCGTCACGAGGAGCAGAACCGCGAGCCAAACCACGTCCCGAGGCGCCTTTATAGACAATGGGTACCGAGCCGCATGTGGATACTTTAGCTGATTAAGTGGCGAGCGGCGGACGGAGCAGCGAACTAGATCGTGGGCCGGAGAGGTGACTTGCGCCATGGTCATGAGCAGCTGAGGTGGCTGCTTCACCCAGCCGAGGTGGCTGTTTTACCCAGCCGAGGTGGCTGCCGACGTGGCTGCTGACGTGGCTGTTCTACGTAACGAAAGTGCCCGGATGACTAAGCGCGGAGTGTTGGCGCGTCGTGGTCGTGAAGTCGATCCGATACTGTCTCGTTCTATATCGATCTGACAGCTCATGAAAACTGCTCTAGTCGACGCATCATGTCACCATACCTGGTTCGAAAAGGCTCTAAACAATTTTGGACTTGAAGATCATGGTCAAGAACTAAATAGCTGAACGTGGTGACGCGTTCTGAAGCAGCTCGCACTATCGAGATAATCCTATGCCAAGAGATATGGTAATTGTTGGCGAAAATATGTCAAATAGGTTCGCTAATGCCGCTAAGCAGTTAATGGATAGTGGCTAGCTGTGGCGATGCGTCTTCAACTCAGCCGATCGCTCCGGAAGAATATAAAACAGTTGCGAACGAAAATAACTACTACTTCCGTGGATGTGGCCGTGGCGAGTGATGAGACGTCTACAATAGGAAATCGGTGCAAGCAAACGATGCAGAGAAAACTCAAGCAAGTGAGCGAGTGCCGTCAACAGTGAACGGATCTTGTCGTAAGAGGCAGGCGGATGCGCCCAGGCTGTCAAGAGAGAGAGACACGGTCGGCAACAGAGGTCCAGGAAGCATGGATGGGATGTGATGATGAAGGTGTGGGATGGGAGTGAGAAGTGCTGGGCGTGAAACTGCTGTTCCAGGTTATGGGAGGAACTGATAGGCGCTAATTTTGTGTTGTGTCCTCCCTCCCCAGCCCTTCCTTTCCAGGCGCAGAACGAGAAGATCTGCGGGACGGAGTTCCCCAGAGCAGCTCACACTCCAAGCTCAGCTCAATTGACCATGGAAAACCTTTTTCGTTGTGTAGGGACGAGGGTCGCTGAGCTCTCTGAAACGAAGGAAAACAGACGGTTGTGAAGAGCTGGTTAGATGAGGAGATTAATTTGACGGTTGGATGAGAAGTAATGAAGAATTGAGGCTGACCTGAGTCAAGGCTGGGCAGGTAGGTTTGATTGGGGAGCATTTCGGAACGAGCCGCGCTGCATGGAAATGTAGCGCCGATTGCGCATTTTAGCCCAAAATGGCGACACGAGATTGGCCTGTGTGTGTGTTCGCCTGAATCACCTCCAGCCAACACCACCACCACCGCAACGCACCGCTTTCTTCGATTTGGCACAGACGTAGACTCGACACCAGCCAGTGAAATTCTATGGCAGCATATCCCCTAGTGCACCGAAATTCATAACTCCAGTTATACACCACCTTTTGATACGATCAAATTGGGGCTACAACATAGTCGGGTTATAGATAATTCCAACAGTGCGTTTTTCGTCGACGGCGTTTCTTGTGACGACGTTTCTGTCCAGAATTGTAGTTGACAATTTTGAGATATTTCGGCCCCTAATCGTTACGGACTCTGTCCTTAATCTCTAACACAGTGACGGGTCGGGAGACGACGGAAAGAAGTCAAGCACTGCAAGGGGTTGAGCGAAGTGTGTTGCGCCACTCATGTGGAGCCTGACGCAGGCCGTAGACTGGTCGACGCAGCTGCCACTTGGTCCCAGGTGGGAAAGAGCCAGTGAAGCCAGGCGGGCGACGCAGCCAAATCTGCTCGTGCAGGCTCCCCTGAAGGAACGCACTGGAGAAGTCCAAGGAGTGCAACTCGTAGTCGCGCTGGGCTGCAATATGCAGCAACACCCGAAGAGTACTCATCTTTGGGTTGGGAGCGAAAGTCAAGAAGAAGTCCACCCCCTTTCGCTTAATGAAGCCTCTCGCCACATAGGGCGCATTGAACACTGGTGGTGATCCAGGAAGTCGCTTCAGCTTGTAGAGCCATCGGCCACTGACGACGTTCGTCCCAGGTGGTGGGACTGCGTCAACGTAAGTGCCTGTGGACCTATAAAATGCCATCTCTACCTCCTCAGCTGCTATCCAGTACGAGGCCCAAGGTCCCGGGATCGCCTCAGTGTGAGTGCGAGGAATCTGGATGTCAAGAGCGTCTGGATCCCCCTCAGGGGCAAGCAGCATGGCGCAGAGATGAGGAACAGCAGTCGCAGGGAAACCAAGCTCAAACTGCCTGTCCTCTAGGACCTCCAGGGAAAAGACAGGAGCACCGCTAGAGGACGGAGAACGAGCAGGGCCACTAACAAAGTGAGCGGCGTAGTCAAGGCGGTGGGAAGAGGCAAAGCCAGCAACAGTGGTAGCAAAAGCTGAGACATACGACAAGGGTGCGGTCGGATGAGTGACCAACACGGAAAAAACACGGGAGACGACAGGACCGGAGGCACAGAGCTAGTCGGACAATAGGTTGTGAAGCACAGTGAGGGACGACTCAGGAGGTTGTGGAAGGACTGGAGGAGGTGGAACACAAGAGCGGAAAAGAAGGTGAAACGGGTCGCCTGCACGGTAACGAGACCGACGGGGAGAACAACGAGTCCACTGGGACGACGAAAAGGACTGGACCACGAACCAAGCCTGCAGGCGCTGGGTCGGGCAGGTCGCGCAGTCACAGTCGCTGCTGCTCCGCCTCCTCTGGCGTCTGCTGCTACGGTACCTGTCCCTGTTGCTGCTCTTGTGGCTCTTGTGGCTCCCCCCCTAGCGTGTCCGATAACCTTCCCCCCCCAACCCAACCAGCCACACGGGGGGGAAATTTCATTTCGCAAACGAGCAGCCCAATCAGCAAGCGAACTCCTTGCGGATGGGTGGCGGAAGTCGAAGACGAGGGGAGAATTACAGCGGGGGATGCGGGCCACCGACAAAATGTCGACCACCAGCGCGGGCGATGAGAGTTACGTTTACGTGGACGCCGGCAAGCAACGACACATGCGAAATGTGTGGTGCAGGTGTGAGTGGACGAAGTTACGCGAGATGCATGTGCTGTAACTGGCAGGGTGGAAAACGAATCAGATTCTGTACAACACAGAAGTCCATGCTATGATGCAAGTCGCTACAACATTTCATAGCAGCAGAGCTGTACTTCACTAGTCAACTCAAATCAAAACCTGCAGCCCAGTTTGAACCTCTCAAATCTTACATTCAATTGTTGTACACAAGTAAGAGAGTAAAGCAAACCAAGGCACATATAAGCCAGGTACCAAATAATATACCCATATCCAAACCCAGCTGCAAGCTAATGCATTGCAACAGAAAACAGTTGCTACACACATTCTCATTATCTCATTCCACACCCAGCATACCGTAATAGGTAAACTAGCAGCAAAATAGTTAACCAGAGTCAACTGATTCACATTCCCAGGGCGTCACTAGGACCCAGCAGCAGCGGCAGGAGCACCAGCACAGCCGCAGCCACCCATCCCCACTCACCCTCTTCCCTCCGGCCGGCACCTTCGGCATTACCTGGGGAAGGTCCTTCTGGTGCAGCTTCTCCTGCTACAGGGTCCGCAGACCCCCTCTTCCTCATACCCAGTTGGTGGAACGGGATGGGGAGAGCCAATGAGGTGAGGGCTTTTCGAAACGAATCCAGAGGAGAGGTGGGTGAAGCGGGAGAGAGGGCAGCAGGAGAAGCAACATCTGCTTTCAGGGACTGGGATTGGTCCGACCACCACCCGGCTTCATCTCCTCCCTTCCCGTCCTTGGCTTTCCCTCCCCTTTTTTTTAGGCCAAGAGGGGCACTGACTGGGGCAGCGTAAACGGGCAGTTGAAGAGATTGGAACGGCCAATGGGAGGCTGCCACGGAGGCGAGGGCGGTTTGGCGGGAGGCTCGGAGGGAAGAGGCTTGGGACTGGAGGGTGGTAACCATAGCAACCAGTGTTGCTGTGTCTGAGAGTTCTGCTGTGTATTCCCCTGCTGTTGCTCCTGCTGCTGCTGTGACTGCTGCTGCTGCTGCTATTGTGACTGCTGCTGCTGCTTGCTGGAATGACGAGAAAGCGGTGCTGCTGGGTTGTGTGGGTTGCTGGGTTGCCTTCTGGTAAAAGGAGGGTTTGGGCAGAAAGAAGCAGACAGAAACAGAGGACGAAGAGAGTGGGTTAAGGTGAGCTGAACTGAGGTGAGTGAAGCAAGGTGAATTGAGGTGCTGTGAGCTAAGACTTGAAGGGAAGAGAGAAAGGATGGCAGCGGGCGGAAGTAGTTCTGACAGGGGGAAGTTGGGAAAAGGAGAGGGAGAGGAAGAGGGAGAGGATACCCACCAGAGAACCAAAGGAGGGAGAAGCTGCTTTCGAGCCACTGCTGCTCGACCTCCCTTGTGCTGTCACTCCTCTTCCCTGTACCCCTCCTCCTCCACTGCCCGTCCCTCCAGATAAGTCATCATTGTCGTCGTCCTTCTTCTCTTTCTCTTCTTTCACGACTTTTGAAGCAGCAGCACCATTACTAGCAGCTTCGTTACTGGCAGCACCGTTACCGGCAGCACCGTTAGCAGCAGCAGAATCCGAAGCAGTGAGGTCGGGAGCCTTGAGCACACTAAGCCCTGCCCCGCTCCGTTCTGACCCATTGATTTTGGACAAGCCAGGGCTCTTCTTGATGCTGCTGGCCACTCGAGACGTCTCATGGATCCTGCAACCACCACACCACAACCACAATCATTAGCATTACACAATAATCACAACCACCACACCATGTTCACAAAGCATAAACGACCACCAGACAGCGCTAACACCAATTTTGAGACAAAAAGAGAAAGAAAACCAACACAGAGCAAGTACAACATGGGTTTCCTTTCCCCTCCACATACTTCTCTTTCAGCTCCATGGTCAGCAGCTGCAGCCTCTCCACAGTACCCCCGTAGATCCCAGACTCATTGCTCGCCAAGACTCACCACCACACACACAAACCTTCACATCAAGCATGGGCCTGCACAACACCGAACCCCTACCACCCCCCGTAACCCCGTTCCCCCCCCACACACGCCCTCCCCCTACCCCTTCACATGTACATACTTCTCTTTCAGCTCCATGGTCAGCAGCTGGAGCCTCTCCACAGCATCCGTAGACTTGCCAGACTCCTTGCTCGCCCGCACTAACTCCCCCTGCAGCAACCCCACCTGGTGCGACAACCCCTCCACTTTCTTAAAAGTCTCTTTTAGCGCGCTCTTACTTGCGCCCTCCCTCTCCCTCAGCTCCACAGCCTGCCGTAGGAAAAACCCCACCCGGTCCTGCGACGACTGGAGCTTTTCCCGGGCTGCCCGCTCCTTGCTTTCCAGCTGCCCGACCTGCGCCACAAGCTCCCGCACCCGGGCCTTCTCAGCTTCAGCTTCTGCCCGAGCTGCCCGTTCGCGCTTCTCCAACGCCCGAATCTCCACCTCTAAAGCCGCCACTTTGTGCTTCGAGCTCGACCCTTCCCCTTTCCCTCCTGAACCCCCCTGGGACCGAGTCACAGCATCAGCAGCAGCAGTTCCTTTCAGCCGAGCCACTTGTCGCATGAGGAAGGCACTCCGTTCGCTCGCAGCAGCAGCGGCGTTGCGGGCCCCTTCAAGCTCACTGGACATGGCAGCCACTTGGGATTGCAGCCGAGCTATCAGCTGATCTGCTGCACCGCTCGCTGCTGCACCGGCAGCACTGCTGGCACCAACTGCAGCAACACCAGCAACAGCAGAAACAGCCCCGGCTGCTGCAGCTGAAGCAGCCTTCTGAGACGTCTCTAAAAGGGTGTACTCTCGGTCTTTTGTCTCGGCAGCAGCAAGAGCAGCAGCGAGTACCGCCTCTGCCTCCTCAGCCTCCCTCTTGGCTTTCCTCTCCCTCTCCTCCGCCACCCCCACCTGCTCCTCAAGCTCCTTAATCCTCTTCTCTGCCGCCCCAATTGCCACCCGGCTCTCCTCCACCACCCTCTCCCTCTCCGCCACCTCAGCAGCCACCGCCGCCAGCCTGGCGTCCCGCTCCGCCATGTCATCTCTTGCCGCCGCCAGCTCAGCACCCAGCCTCTCCAACTGCGCCTGCAGCATCCGCTCCCTCTCCTCAGCTGCACTCAACTCCTCCCTGGCAGCCATAAGCCTGTGCTCGTCACTCTCATGCAGAAACACCTTCGCAGCATCCACCGCCTCTCGCTTCACCTCCATTTTCAACCCCTCCACTTGCTGCACCTGCCGCGTCAGCAGCTCAATCCTCTCACTCGCCACCGCCCACGCTTCCCGCATCAACTCGTCCTTCCTCCGGAGATTCTCCGCTTCAGTCACAGCAGCTTCAAGCCGGTCTGTCGCAGCGTGCATGGCTTCTTTCGCCGCTCGCTCCCTATCCCGGAGCCCCCTCATCACCCGGAAGAAAAATTTCACTCGCTCGTTGGCCGCTCCCAGCGCCTCCTGGGCTTTCCTTGCTTCTTTTTCTGCCCGCTCTGCCCGGTCTTCCAGCTTCACCATCAGGTCGTGATCCGCCGCCGCTTTCTCGGAAGCTTCCTCCAGCCTCGTCTCCATCTCGCCCATCCGCGCGGAGGCCGCGCGCTCCTTCTCGGAAAGTTCCTTCACCTGTTCGGCCAGTGCCTGCATTCGCTCCAAAGCTACCGCCGCTGCTTCCTTAGCTGCTGCTTCCATCTCTTCCATCTGAGCGATTCTGTTAGCTAACTCCGCCGCCCGCTCCTCTGCTGCCTGTGCTTTCGCCTCTGCTGCTTCGTGGGCCGATAAAAGCTCCCTCTCTCGCTCCTGAAGGAGGGAAAGCTCCTGGGAAACTTCCGTGAGCTGGGAATGGAGTGCCGATTCTCGCTCCGCTGCCGCCGCTGCGGCTGCTTCGGCCTCGGCTGCCGCCGCAGCAACTGCTGCCGCCGTAGCTTCTGCCGACGCCGCCGCTGCAGCAGCAGCAGCTGCAGAATCTACTCCCAGGAACGCAGCAGCCTGCAGCTCCTGCTGCTCCCGCTGCTCCTGCTGGTCCTTCTCACGCTGCTGCCTTTCTTCCTCCTGCTGCTGCTGCTGCTGCTGCTGGAAGAGGTTGAGGGCTTCGACCTGGGCGGTGAGGAGGGCGATGCGCTCGTGTGCTGCTGCTGCCTCCATGCGCGCTGCTGTCTCGCTCTCCCTCAGCTCGCTCACGTGCTGCATGAAGAACCGCACCTGGGAAGCAGGAAGAAGGAAGAGGGAGGAATGAAGAAAGAGGGAAGACAGAGGTGAGGTAAAGGGGTGGATAATTGTTGATCTAATCCACTTGTGTATGTATGTAAATGTATGCAGCAGCCGAGGCCACCACATGCTTCTGCTCCAACAATGCAATGCGCTCCTCCGCTCCAGATGCCACCTCCCCCAGCCCACCCTTCCCCAGCCCACACTTCTCCAGCCCAACCTCTCTACATGTATATGTACACATATAATGTTTTTGAGGCGTTTCAAAACCAGTCCACCCGTTTTCATGTACATGTGCACAAGCTCTCTGTCCGTACCTGTTCTGTGGCGGATCGAGCAGCAGCCATGGCCGCCAGGTGCTTCTGCTCCAGCAGTGCAATGCGCTCCTCCACTCCAGACGCCACCTCCCCCAGCCCACCCTACATATACGTATATGTACTACAGAGATTCTCTGTCCGTACCTGTTCTGTGGCGGATCGAGCAGCAGCCATGGCAGCCAGGTGCTTCTGCTCCAGCAATGCAATGCGCTCCTCCACTCCAGACGCCACCTCCCCCAGCACACCCTCCCCCTCCAGAATACCTTCCCCTAGTACACCCTCCTCAAAAGCAGGAGGCGCGTCAGCGGGAGGCGGGGCAGCGAGGGGCCATGCGTGAGAGTGATGATCGTTGACAAAGGAGTAGACCGAGTCGAGAATGTGCGGCTGCTGCTGTGAGGGGAGGGGAAGTGGGGGGAAAGGAAGGGGTGTAACAGCAACAGGAGTGAGGTGAGAGGGATGCAGTGAGGGGTGATGAGAAGGTGAGAGCGAGGGGCCATGCGTGGGCGTGGTGGTCGTTGACAAAGGAGTAGACTGAGCCGAGGATATGTGGCTGCTGCTGCGAATGAGGCAGGAGGGGGAGGGGAGGGGAGATGAGAACAGGGATGGTCGTTGACAAAGGAGTAGACTGAGACGAGGATGTGTGGCTGCTGCTGCGAATGAGGCAGGAGGGGGAGGGGAGGGGAGATGAGAACAGGGATGGTCGTTGACAAAGGAGTAGACTGAGACGAGGATGTGCGGCTGCTGCTGTGGGGGGGTAGGACAGGGAGGGAGGGTGTAAGCAACGGCAGTGAGCAGATGGAGTGCAGTGAGGGACGAGATGTGGCAGCGAGGGGCCATGTGTGGGCGTGGAGGTCGTTGACAAAGGAGTAGACCGAGTCGAGTATGTGCGTGCGGCTGCTGTGAGGGGAGGAGGGGAGGAGGGGAGGAGGGGAGGGGGGAAGGGAAGGATTAGATGAATGGCAGGTAGCAGCAAAGGGCATGGTGGTTGTTGACAGAGGAGTAGACGGAATCAAGGATGTGCGGCTGCTGCTGTGAAGGAGGGGGAGGTTGAGGGGGGAGGAGGGGGGGTTTGGGGTGTGAGTAGGATGGGGAGTGTGATGGGGATGGGAGGGATGGAGATGAGAGGGATGGGAGCAGCGAGGGGGCGTGGGAGGGAGCAGGGTTGTGAGGCTGGAAATCCATAATTGAAAGTGTGAAAGGGTGAATACCTCAGAAGGCGCATCAGGCGAAGCTTTTATATGCAGATCATAGTAATGAGCAGCAGGCAGGTACCTGGAATGGAAGGGCGTTTCCAGGGGAGGCGCTGTCTGCGAGTCCACCACAGGAGAGAAGCTCTGCTGCGCCTCCCTCGGCTGCACCTCCCGTGGCTTGGGGGATGACGCCTGGCGAGATGCCGCCTTGGGGAGCGACTGGGAGATGGTCACATCAGCGGACACCCTGTGCTGCAGAGACGTACCTGAAAGGGCGTTTCCAGTGGAGGCGCCATCTGCGAGTCCACCACAGGAGAGAAGCTCTGCTGCGCCTCCCTCGGCTGCACCTCCCGTGGCTTGGGGGATGACGCCTGGCGAGATGCTGCCTTGGGGAGCGACTGGGAGATGGTCACATCAGCGGACACCCTGTGCTGCAGAGAGGTAGGTACCTGGAAGGGCGTTTCCAGTGGTGGCGCCATCTGCGAGTCGACCACAGGAGGGAAGCTCGGCTGCACCTCCCGTGGCTTGGGGGAAGACGCCTGGCGAGATGCCGCCTTGGAGAGCGACTGGGAGATGGTGACGTCAGCGGACACCCTGTGCTGCAGGGAGGTACGTACCTGGAAGGGCGTTTCCAGTGGAGGCGCCATCTGCGAGTCCACCACAGGAGAGAAGCTCTGCGGCTCCCTCGGCTGCACCTCCCGTGGCTTGGGGGAAGACGCCTGGCGAGATGCTGCCTTGGGGAGCGACTGGGAGATGGTCACATCAGCGGACACCCTGTGCTGCAGAGAGGTAGGTACCTGGAAGGGCGTTTCCAGTGGAGGCGCCATCTGCGAGTCGACCACAGGAGGGAAGCTCGGCTGCACCTCCCGTGGCTTGGGGGAAGACGCCTGGCGAGATGCCGCCTTGGAGAGCGACTGGGAGATGGTGACGTCAGCGGACACCCTGTGCTGCAGCGTCTCTGTGATGAGTCGCCTCTGCGCCTCCTCCCAGTCGTCCCTTGCCGTCTGCCCCCCGCCCTCCGCGCCCGCGCCCTGCTCTATGCGCCGCTGGTACTGCTCCTCTGCTAGCTCCGTCATCCTGTGTGCGCCCACCCCGTCCGCTGCTGACAGCACGAGACGAGCCTGGAAACAGCACAGGGGAGGGGGGGGGAGGCGGTGGGGGAAGGCCGGTGGGGATGTAAGGGGGAAGAGAGAGCATGGCTCGCCCTGCTCGATGCGCCGCTGGTACTGCTCCTCTGCTAGCTCCGTCATCCTGTGCGCGCCCACCCCGTCTGCTGCTGACAGCACCAGCCGGGCCTGGGCGAGACAGGCAGGCAGGGAATGGGGGAGGCGAGAGAGGGGAATCAAGTGAGAGAAGTACTAAAGGGGAAGGTGCGCCCTGCTATATGCGGCGCTGGTACTTCTCCTCTGCCAGCTCCATCATCCCGTCCCGACCTTTTGTGCGGGCCCACCCCGTCCGCTGCTAACAGCACGAGCCTAGCCTAACACACGCAAACTCCTACAGAGTCCATCTCCCCCTTACCCGGACCACCCCCCTCTTGAGACGAGACAGTGAGCGCAACGCTGCCAGCAATCATAGCTCTGTTCCGTGCTGACAACGATCATCATGGCCTAAGCTTCCTCCGTTCCATTCCCTCTCAACACAGCACTAGCATACGTTTTTCCTGCGCCCATTTCCCCCTCACCTGCTCCCACGCCTCATGCGACGGATCGGCGGACGGGACGCTGTCAACGATCATGGCCTTGGCTTCGCTCCATGCCAGGCCCTGGAAGAACGTCAGGTAGCTGGACGGGTGGGTGGCAGACGGGAGGGGGGAGGTGGGGGGGAGGAGAGGGGAGGGAAGAAAAAAAGCAGGGGGAGAGAGGGGTGGGAGGGGGGGAGAGAGGAGTGTGAGCGCCACACCTAGACCGGCCTGACTGACTCAACGGGACGCTGTCAACGATCATGGCCTTGGCTTCGCTCCATGCCAGACCCTGGAAGAACGTCAGGTAGATGGACGGAGGGGGAGAGATACGGGGGTGGAGGGGAAGGAGAGAAGTGGAAGGAAAGGGGAGTTTAAGCACTACAACAATACAGACTTGAACCAATTTATAGAACGAACAGCACCGCACTCAACCGAGCTCGAACTAAGAGCAGCAATGTGCGTCAGTGTCGCTCATGCCACCTGTCGGAGCACTGAAGCACTTCTCCCTTACAATACCATGGGCAACGTAACCTAGCAAAGCAGCACCACATTGAACCACACAGAACCGCGTTTACTCACCCTAACACTACCAGCGGGCTGCAGTTCTTCCCTGTAGCGCATGCCACGTGGACCCTGTGACCTGTCACCAGCAGCGACGCCAGGAGACGCACCGCCTCCACCATCCCAGCAACCTGCGATCCAGACGAGAAAGAGGAAGAACGAGAGGAAAGGAAAAAAACGCCACTGTTCTGAGATGGAAGAATTCAAACAAGTTTTGACACAGTTCTGTGTATTTCGTCAATTCCTTCGCAGAATGTTTCAGAAGGTTACGACACGTTACATACCTGTTTCTGCTGGTCGAACTCGGGCACGGGAACGCGGAACATGGCAACGTCGCACTGCTCCGCCTGCTCCTGAACGGCCTTCCAGTTAACTCCGAACGATTCCAATGACTCCTCGCCCTGCCATGGACGGACGGGAGAAAAGAGAGAGGAGAGAGGAGAGAGACGGAAAACTTCTGGAAGAATCATGGCGAAACGCGCATTTCCGTTCGCCAATAAACCGCAAACCAGTCAACTCCGAGAGTGGCTCCATAGACTCCTCGCCGCGCCATGGATGGGGAAGAGAAGGACGAATCCGGAACACGGCGACATGTTGGAGAAAGAGCACTTTCATCATGGTCAATTCATTCAACAAAAAAACGAACCCTAACAACATCATTTCGTCCCGCTTGCTCCTGAGCATAATCGCTTTTGAGAATTCTCAAGAATGTGTTTGCAGCTTTTATTAAACGCCAAATTTATTGTTAGTATCCCGTTAAGTCGTCCTATGTTAGGGCGTCTTAGCGCGCAACGTTTTGCCAGCTCCTGAACTCATACCATTGCACGCTGAAAGCATCTACTGATTATACGCCTTGAGAGGTTGCAGACACCTAGTACGCAATAAGAAGCAATGGGTTAATGAGCGGTCGGTTCATGCGTTTCCAAGATTGCTGCGGCTGCGGGCATTGCTCGAACCACTACCGACTGACTACTCTCGATTGCTTCGAAAGCCAATCCCAAGGTCGAAAACGAATGATGAAATGAAGGTCGACAACGCGTGAGAAAAGTACAGTTCGCACACCAAACAAAAAGCAAAAGCATACATAAAGAAAAAGAATGCAAGCGAAGTGAAGCATCGGGACGCTGTTGTCGCACATGCTCAAGAAAATCAGGGTTTGGATTCTTAGACAACTGCAACAATTCCTTTTTGCAACCACCCGTCTGTAACACACATCTGTAACCATACAGAAAAAACCACAACATACAAGTAATCGGTGTTCCTGCGAACCTATCCCCGCTACAGACACACACCTGCAAGCATAGAATGGCGGTGCAAGTTGTCGCCTGAGTCAGCATCGTGACGTCCTCGGGCCCGGCAATCCCGGAGCCCACCGACACGCCAGTCGCGAGCGTGATGTGCGTCCACGTCAGCGGCCAGTCAGCCTGCATGCACACCACATCCTCGTCGATAGGACCTGCCGGAACCGAGGGAGGAAGGAGAGGGGAGAAAGGAGAGGGAAGAGAGGCATGGGGACGTGAGGGGGGGGGGGGGAGGAGGGGGGGAGGGGGAGGAGGGAACCGTGTGGGGCGGAGAGAAGGCGAGGGGGAAGTAAGGGCGACGCGGAACGGAGGCTCCGCCTAAATGCACAGCACCTTATACAAAAAAAAAAAACGGAAAGAGAGCGGGGGTGGGGGTGGGGGGGGGGGGGGGGGGGAGGGGGAGAAGAGAGGAATGCGAGAGAAGAGGGGTGCGGGGAGCAGGGAAGTGGGACCGCGGGTGTGAAAGCACATGTGGGAATAGGGAAAGAGGCAGCCCGGATAAGAGAATACAGAAAAAATCGAATGCGGTAATCGGTGAGGGTGAGAGGGGGTGGAGGTGCGGGTTCAAGGGAAAAGGGGAGGGGGGAAAGAAAGGGCGGGAGAGAGGAAAGGGGAGAGAGCGGGTGGGAGATGGGGAAGGGGGGCGATACGGGGATTTACGTATGTACAGTCTCATGTCTCTCCTCTGCGCACCCCATTCACGCCCACGGACCTCCATTCCCCCAACCTTCTCCCTTTTCCCACCTTCCTTTTCCATCCGTACTTCCCCCCTTCTAACCCTGAATTGGCGAACTTCGCCTGGCGTACCTTCCGACTTATAAATATCACGAATCGGCGTGCTTGCTTTCAGCACGCGCGGCTTCATCCCCCCGGCGGTCGCGCGCATTATCCCCCTTGCATCCCCTCCCGCAAGCTCCTCTTCCGCGTGCGCGCAGGAGTGAATGTGCTGTAGCATTCGCACTTGGTCCACCATCACACTGTTCTCCGCCGAAAATGTGAACTCATGAGGATTCGAACCCTCGTCTCCAGAACCCGAAGAATCGCCACTTGACCCAACAAAGTCCCAATTATCGGGTTTTTCTTCCGCCTGCTGCTCCACCGCCAAATTCTCGCTGCGCGCCGAGCCCCTCTGCCCGCGCCTCCACCGGAGCCCGTCCGGTCCGCGAGAATTCTCCCCCTCCCCTTCACTCAGCTCGCCGGGAGAAGGACACCCAGGCACTAACACATCGCATTTAAGGCCGTCTCCGCGGCCGCGCCTCCCCGACCGCGACGGTACGAGCACGCTAGGAACGTGCCGCCTGTGTGGCCGCGTGAACGGTGCGCGCATGTAAACGATCCGCGAGCGCGGGCAGAGAAAGCCGGCGCCGCGTCGTTGGCTGTGGTGGTGGTGCGCCTTCGGCACGGCGGACGACACGTAAGCTGAAGCCGCGAGGGAGGAGTTGGCGGTGGAAGCGGTAGAAATGGCGGTCGCGTGTGTACGCGCTTGTGCCTTCCATGCTGGCGTTACGCTGGCCTCCATTGGCACGAACGATTAGTTTAAGTAAATAATGTTGCTTATAATGTGTTTCACCGTAAACCTTAGGTCGCGCCTACGGTTGTTGGGTTGACGGGTTCGCAACTACTTCTTGAAGCGGAGCGAAGCTTGTAGTCGAGGGACGGAAAGAAACACAGCCGAGTTGCTTGTTAATGCTTGAATGTCCTCTTATCGCCTATCCCGCCAACCCTTTCACTGAGTTTTTAGTGAGGGAATGAATGGACGAATGTTTTCGTCAACCTACGTAGTTTCATCAACCAGCATCTCTGGAGTACAGCAGCAGCAGCAGCCACACGAAACCCTAGTCCGTCATTAGCAGGCGGGTGGGAGTCCAGCGATTCATGCCAACCCAGCCTACACACAGCAACTATTTCATTGACCGACACGCGGTCTACGGTGGTACTGAACGTTGCAAGACGGTTTGAGAGGGTTTATGGTAGGGTGCCTCGACTTCACCAATATTTCCCTTCACGCGGCTCGAATAAAGTCCACATTGCTGGCCACTTTCATTCCCTTACCTGCGGAGATTTGACGTGGCTGAAGTGGCGGTCTCGTCACCACAAATAGAAATTCACGATTTGTCCAAGTGCAGGACCAGAAACCTGCCCAACGGACACCCCACTACCCAGACGCCGGAGTCAAATTTGCTTCCAACCACTGTTTTCAAGCCACCAGTTCTTGCTGACGAGGATTGAGCAGAAAAGCGATGTCCGCGACTCGAGAGCGGATATGGACTGTACCACTTTGCTGTGAACGAGAACTGTTTCGGATCAGAATTTGCCGCGCCACCTCACATTTCCAGCCACTCTGCTGGAGTTGCGAAAGAACAGCACAGCAGACAATTGTGGTGTAACCAGTCTAGTTACATCTCTGAGATGTTGTTTGCTTATAATAATTTAGCAAGACATGAAGCGAAACACTCCCAAAGAAATGCCACTTTGTGCAGCTTGAATGAGCAGTTCCAAGCAATTTTTTTTCCAAGCAAGTTTTATAATCATATTCATTTACAGCCCTTTATCACCTTTCTCTGCGCAACAATCTGTGGCCAGTTGAGTCTCCAAAGTACAGCCTAAAACCTTTTCCAACACACTTGTAGTGTCAGTTTAGCCTTCCCTATTCCAAAAGGCACATCCCAACTAGCAGAAATGCAGGCCTGAAAAGCTTCACTTCATCATCTTCCTCAGAGCAAACTTCTGCTGCCGCTTCAGCTCCAGCCGCAGCTCATTCTTCTTGCGGTTCCACTTCCCCTCCTCCGCCTCCGACTTGAGGAAGCTTCCTCCCATGTCCATCAGAAGCTTCTCCATATCACCTGCCCCTCTCGCTTCCTCCAAAGCCAACAGGTCAGGTATACCTCCCCCGGATGAGCCTCCTCCCTCCCCCTCTCCTGCACCCCCATCCAACCCTCCTCCCCTTCCACCCATTCCCCTCCCCCTCCCAAACAACCCTCCTCTCCCCCCTCTCCATCCTCTTCCCCCACCGTCCCCTCTCCCCGCAATCTCACCACCAGCAGCAGCACCAAGACCAACCCCAGCAGCACCAGCACCATTGAAGCCAGTTGTTACAGGCGCTACCAGCTCTGCCCCAAACAACGACCCCCCCTCCACCTCCCTCTCCCGTTTCCCTCCCTCCTCTGGTCCTGCCCCACCTCGCAGCACCTCCCCCTTCCCTTCCTCCCCACCTCCTCCCTCCTTCGTCCCACCTCCCTCCTCCTGTGCCTCACCGCTCTTCAGTTCACCCAGAACCGGTTTGAGGGAGAAGGAGAGTTTGCCATCAGCACTGGTGAGCGATTTCCATGTGAACTTCTGCACCCACGCACTGCCCACTTGCTCCTGCCTCTCCGCCAAACCCCCACTCGCTGCTGCTGTTGCTGCTGCTGCTGCATCGGCAGCAGCCCCACCAGCACTAGCAGCAGCAACACCAGTGCCACCACCACCACCACCAACAGCAGCAGCAGCACTGCCAGCACCGTCACTAGCTGGCTTTGCTTCCAGCCCTTCTGTCTTCTGGCGCTTTCCTCCTTTCCCCCCCTCTCTAGGCCCCTCACTAGGCCCCTCCAATGCCCCTTTCCTCTTCCCTCCCCCACCACTGACACCACCATCTGTCACAGAGCCCTTCCTCCCATCTTCCTTCCCCTTCCCCTCCCCAGCACCAAGCCCCTCCCCAGCAGCCAAAGCAAATAGACTGTCCCACGAAGGCACTTCTGCCCCCTTTCTTGTGCGCTTATCACTCCCCTTGCCTTCCCCTTCCTCCTCGTCCTCTTCCTCCTCCTCCTCCTCCTCCTCCTCCTCCTCCTCCTCCTCCTCCTCCTCCTCCTCCTCCTCCTCCTCCTCCTCCTCCTCCTCCTCCTCTTCCTCTTCCCCCTCCCCTGTTGCCTCCTCATCCTCCCCTTCTTCCTCACCTTCCTCCACATCCTCCTCCTCCTCCTCACTCCCCTCACCTTCCTCCTCCTCCCCTTCATCTACTCCCTCATCCTCACTCCCTGCTCCACCCTCCTCACCCTCCTCCTCTCCTTCACTCTCCGCCTCTCCCATGCCCTCCTCCTCTTCCTCGCCCTCCTCCTTTTCCTCCCCCTCTTCCTCTCCCTCACCTCCCTCCTCTCCTCCCCCCTTCTCCTCTATCTCTCCCTCCTCATCCCCCTCACCCTCCTCCTCTATCTCTCCCTCCTCCTCTCCCTCACCCTCCTCCACTATCTTGCCCTCCACTCCCTCCCCCTCCCCCTTCCCCTCCTCTGCACCCCCCTCCTTCATTTCCATCTCCTCCTCCCCTCGCTCCTCTCCTGCTTTCATTACCTTTATCCTCTTGACTTCTTTCTCCTCCTCCCCTACTTCTTCCTCACCCTCCTCACTCTCCTCACCCTCCTCACTCTCCTCACCCTCCTCACTCTCCTCACCCTCCTTACTCTCCTCACCCTCCTCACTCTCCTCACCCTCCTCACTCTCCTCACCCTCCTTACTCTCCTCACCCTCCGCTCTCTTCTCCTCCAACTCATCTTCTTCCAATATTTCCTCTTCCATGCTCTCTCCCTCCAGATTTGACCTTCCCCAATTTTTCTGCCATCTCTCATTCCCCTCTTCCCCATTCCCCTCCTCTACACCCCCTTCCTCCTCTTCCTCCTCTTCCTCCTCTTCCTCCTCTTCCTCCCCTTCCTCCTCCTCCTCCTCCTCCTCCTCCTCCTCCTCCTCCTCCTCCTCCTCCTCCTCCTCCTCCTCCTCCTCCTCCTCCACATCACACGAAGCAACAGCAAACAGCCTGTCCCATCGCGACCCCCCCTCCCCTGTCTTCTCAGCTTGTTCCTTCTTCTCACTCCCCACCAATTTCTCCCCAAACACTTTTCCTTCCACCACCACCTCTTTTTCACCTTTCTCCCTACGAACTTTCTCCTCTACCCCTTTCATCCCTGCTAATTTCTGCCCCCACTTACCCTCTGCTGCACCATCCGTGCCCCCAACTAATACACCACTCACACCAGTTGCACCTCCTGTGCCTGCCACAGCCCTAGACCTCGTTTCCTGCACCACCTTACTACTGATATTCTCATTCCCTTTGCTTCCTTTGCCTTCCTTGCTGCCTGTGCTGACTTTACTGGGCCCACTCCATGTCACATTAATGTTCAACCCATCGTCCTCCTCCTCTTCCTCCTCCTCCTCTTCCTCCTCATCCTCTTCCTCTTCCTCTTCCTCTTCCGCTTCCCCCTCTTCCTCCTCATCCCCAACTCCCCCCTCGCTCATGACCACATCACCGTCTCCCCTTCCCATCTCACCCCCCTTCCGCCCACCACTCCCACTCCCTTCCCTCCCCTCCACACCCTTCTCTCCCCCATCACCGTTGCTGCCCCCATCGCCCATCCCTCCCCCCTCCACCTTCCCGCCCTCCGCCTCCGCCCCTCCCCCTTCTAAAATCAGGAACCGTTGCAGCAGCCGCCTCTGCATCTCCCTTTCTCTCTCCAACCCCCCGTCCTCCTCCCCCCCCTCCCCCTCCTCATGCTGCTCCCCAAACCCAGCATACCCATCAGCAGCACCCTCCCCTCCTCCACTCTTCCTTCTCTCTTGGCCTCGTCCTCCCACAGCACCAGCAGCAACACCAGCAGCAGCAGCAGCAGCAGCAGCAGCAGAAGCAACACCAGCACGAGCACCAACCGCAGCAGCAGAAGCACGAGCAGCAGCACCATCACCATCCTCATCAGGAGCAGCAGCGGCGACAGCGGTGGCAGCAGCGGCGCGGGCAAGCACGGCAGAGAGGGAGGGCTCGAATGCCAGCCGCTGGAAGCTCAGCTTGTGCCGCCCACACCCCGGCCCGCCCGCTGCTGGCATGCGCCGCATCTGAGGGGGAGAGACAGAGGGGTTCAGAGGGGTTGAGAGGGGTTGAGAGGGATTGAGAGGGATTGAGAGGGGTTGAGAGGGGTTGACAAGGAGACGGTGACAGCCTTATCAAGCTGTCTCAGAAAGCAGCTGGAAGCTCAGCTTGTGCCGCCCACACCCGGGCCCCCTGGCTGCTGCCAGCTGGCACGCGCCGCATCCGAGGGGGGAGAACAGAGGGATTCAGAGGGGTTGAGAGGCATGCGCGGAGTCGGGAAGGAGGGAAAGGGGTTGGGAGGCACGCGCGGAGTCTAAAGTCAGAGAGAGGGCCTGAGAGAGGAGTTGAGGGAGTGAGGGAGACAAAAAGACAAGTGAGGGGCGAGAGAGGGTCAAAACAGGCAGACTCATACATTTTTCCCTCCGCGCCAAGCCAGGTTCATTGGCTCCAGCTCCCGTGCCTTCAATGCAGCTACCTCTCCCGGGCTCAAACACCCAAGGGGCGAGTGGGGGGCGAGTGAGGGGCGAGTGAGGGGCGAGTGAGGGCCAAGACAGGCACGTACCTTCTTCCCTCCGCGCCAAGCCAGGTTCATAGGCTCTAGCTTCCGTGCGTTCAGTGCAGCTACCTCCTCCGGGCTCAAACACCCACTGGCAGAGGCCTGCATAACCCGGTTACCACCACCGCTTCGCTCCGCCTCCGCCCTCGCCCTCTCTTCTGCCTCCTCCTCGGCCTCCTGCCTCTCCCTCTCGCTCCGCTCCTTGGCGTTCTGCTCGAGAAAACTCTCCCTTGCTGCTTCCACGCGCATCCGGCCCCCCTTCCACATGCACCCGTTGTACTGCGCGCATGTAGGGGGATGGGGAGAAGTGAAAACAAGAGGGGGGATATGGGGCTTTCCTGCTCTAGAAAACTCTCCCTTGCTGCTTCCACGCGCATCCGCCCCAACTTTCCACATGCACCCGTCGTTCTTGGGGGGTTTCGGAGGGGTTGGGGAAAAAGGAAAACAGGAGGGGGGTTATGAGGTTTTCACGCGCCTTCCTCCCCTTCCATATGCAAATATTGTACGGTTCGGGGGCGGCGGAAAGCGGGGGTGGGGGGGAAGAGAGGAGGAGCGGGGAAGAGAGTGGGGGTTGGGGGAGAATCGAAAGGTGGACAGCAACGCGCGGATAAGGTGCTGGATGAGTGACTATATGAGTTAACGGATCGGTGATAACGCGTACAATTTATCATTTAAAGTTTACGCCGAAAGACCCACCAGCGACAAGCATTGGTGCAAGGCCTTGGCGGACTTGGGAACCATGTCCACGTAAGCAAAGCCACGACACACTGCCACGTGGCTGCACTGCCGATCGGCTCCATCTCCGCTCGTTTCGTGAAATAGACGGTCAGGATTTGTTTGCTGCGATGGAGGCGCCGCGAAGGACGCGGGGAGCAGCTGGTGCGACTTGGCAAGAATCACGTTGACTTCGTTGACCTGCCCGAACGGCTGGAATCTACCTCGAACTTCATCCTCTGAAACGTTCCCGGGCAGCCCGCCGACAAATAATCTCACGCGGACGGGCAATGCGTCACGTTCAGGGGGAACCGTTTCCATACGGGCAGCTGATGATTCCTTTTGAAGCGCTTCGTTACCAAGATGAGTTGCGACTGGGTTAGAATGTGACGCATTTTCGCGTGACGAAGGCGTGGATATCGGCATCGCGGGAATTATGCTATATGAATAAGTTTGTGTCACAAAGAAACGAAGATGTTCCCTAATTAGTGCGATTCGGAAATCTAGGAGCAGCTTAGCGGAAATTTATAAATCTCAGGGGCTTGGGTTTGCTTTGGGTCTGGAGGGTTCAGCGCATCCTCGATACCCACAATTTCCGATATCAGGTACAGTCCACTTGTGAATAGCGTGCCAAAATATTACTGCGTCGTACAGCGGCCTGTACGTGGCTCCCTTCGCCAGGCTCAGCGTAACCTGAATACATCACTTTCGCCAATAAATTCGCCGGACCAGGAATGCAGAGCCGCAATTGCAATGCCCGGAATTCCCAAGAGCCAGCACACATTTCCCCAAGCCTCGCCTATCCAATACCAAGGCCCAACCACAATTCCCTCCCAAGCCAAGACCCACACCACACCTCAATCCCAAACTTCAATTCCCATTCCATCCTTGCCAAACGCCAGAGCAGATCGCCTCACTATCACAGATGAGTAAGCTATGGCGGTTATCGGTTTCGGAAAATAGTTATCGTTATCTGGGAGAGCAGTAAATGTGAAAAATCTCTCTGCCGCGTAGCTAGGTCAGTCCGCGTTGCACGGGCCAGTAGGGGGTGAACTTGAAGTCCGTCCCAGTAGGGATGTTAGCTGGTCGGGTATGTTCTTTGATCCGACTGAGAAACCACCACTGGAACGCCCGCGCGTATCGTAGCGGCAAGAGCATCTTATCATTTATCTGATCCAGCGCCACCAGAAGCGTTGTTTTGAGACGTCTCAAAACAGCACTTTTATCACGTGGCCACCACTGGAACGCCCGTGCGTATCGTAGCGGCAAGAGCCAACGGCGAGAGCCTCTGATCATTTATCTGATCCAGCGCCACCAGAAGCCTCGTATTACAGTTACAGACGGTTTTGAGGGCACGCAGTATGTTACAAACGAGGATGGACAGCATCCGCGAATTGCGGACAGCAGTCTGGGTCTGTCCGTCAACCCCCCGTAAACACCACGGCAGTTCCATCACCCCGATCCTCCTCTCCCTTTTCCTCCTCCTCTCTCTCGCTCTCTCCCCTTCCCGTCTCGCTTTAGGAGAATCGAATTTGCAAACGGTTTCTGACAGCAGCAGCAGCACCGCCACCAGCACCAGCAGCAGCAGCGGCAGCAGCAGGGATGGAAGCCGTGATAGCACGCTGCTCTTGGGACGAGTGAACCAATTCGAGAAGGAGCTTACCGTTCAGCTGCATCAGAGCAAAGCAACGGATCAGAACAAACCTACGGACCAAAAGTCAACCAAGTCAACTCAGTCAACCAAGTCAACCCAGTCAACGGAGCAGAGCATTTTGAAAGCAAGAACCAGCCCTAAACGGAAACCGCGTCCGATTATAATGAGTAAAACCGGCGTGGAGCTCAACAATCCCAACCTCCCAATCCCGGCCATTCCAGAAGGTTCTCCCGTCCTCCCTTCCTTCCCAGAGGCCGTACTCGATACAACCACTCTCAATACAAGCATAACCCGCAGCCACCTAGCCAGCGCTTTTCTAGAATACTTCAAATTCCACATCCCTGAAAAAGAGGTCCGGCTGCAGTGCACCGGCGGACGCTGTCCGAACCTCGCTCCCTGCGGCCCGGCGTTCCCGAACCTGCGAGCCTGCCACCGAACCGACATAGTGGCGCCGATCCACATCGACCCCGGACCTCCGGAGAACTGTCCGAAGCTGGAGAATTGGGACGAGGTTGGGGGAAAAGGAGCGGATTTGAGATGTTCGCAGGCAGGGGACTATGTGCGGCATGACAGGACACTGTTTCAGTATTTCGAGATGCGAGATGTGATGATGGATTGGAACGGCGTGGTGTTCAACAGCTCCATGCACTTTTTCCGCCATGGCTGCTTTTCGGATGCTGATGTGAGTCCCGAACTGGGGTTACTAGCTCTCTCTTGCCTCTGGCCCCCTCCCCCTTCTTCACTTTTGAGGCGCCTCAAAAGTCGTCTCTGGCCCCCTCCCCCTTCTTCACTAGCCCCCACCGCACACACTCGCCGTCAGCTCTCTCTTCTTCTGTGTCACTCCCTCCCTGTGTGTGTGCTCCACCAGATTGTTTTTGAGAATTCTCAAAAACACCCCACTGCACACACTCGCCGTCAGCTCTCCCTTGTTCTGTGTCACTCCCTGTGTGTGTGCTCCACCAGATTTAGTTATCCCATATGAGATTGGTCCGATGGGTGGGGGTACGGTGTGCATGCTACCCCTCTTTTCTGTGTCGCCTTCTCGCATCCCTTTCCTCACTGTCACATCCTTTCTGTGTGCCCCCACCCAGTTCACCTACCCCAGCGACAACACAACAGTGCAGCGCGTGAGACGCATGGTGAGCATGCTGTACACGCCCGCCACCAGCTTCCCATCTTCCCTGTCCCCATCGCCCCCATCTCCCCCATCTCCCCTCCACATCCCCCATCTCCCCCATCCCACCCAGTTCACCTACCCCAGTGCCAACACCACGGTGCAGCGCGTGGGGCGGATGGTGAGCATGCTGTACACGCCCGCCACGAGCTTCTACCACTCCATCATCGAGTGGGTGCCGCAGTGGCTCGTGCTGCGAGAGCTTCTAGAAGAACATCCGAACATTCTCATCGTTATGCGCGCGGCTCAGGTACGAGAGAGGGGGAGAGAGCATGCTACGAGCAGAGCAGAGATGGTGAGCATGCTGTACACCCCCGCCACGAGCTTCTACCACTCCATCATCGAGTGGATGCCGCAGTGGCTCGTGCTGAGGGAGCTGCTGCAGGAGCATCCGAAGATCCTCATTGTTATGCGGGCAGCTCAGGTGAGAGAAAGGGCGAGAAGTGGCATGAGAGCATGTATGACGCTATGGGCTAGTTAGAACACAGATGTGAGGCACCACAAGAGCTTCTATCACTCCATCATCGAGTGGGTGCCGCAGTGGCTCGTGCTGAGGGAACTGTTGCAGGAGCACCCCAACATTCTAGTCGTGATGCGCGCTGCTCAGGTGAGAGCTGGAGTGCGTGGATTGAATCAGTAAGAACAGAGATGGAGAGCTGAGGTGCCACAGCACCACAAGAGCTTCTATTACTGCCTCATCGAGTGGGTGCCGCAGTGGCTCGTGCTGAGAGAACTGCTGGAGGAGCATCCGAACATGCTCATTGTTATGCGCTCTGCTCAGGTGAGCGCAGTTGTGCGTGAATTGAATCAGCAGGAGCAGAGACGGTGAGGCATCACGGCAGCACAGCACCACAACAAGAGCTTCTACCACCACTCCATCATCGAGTGGGTGCCGCAGTGGCTCGTGCTGAGGGAGCTGCTGCAGGAGCACCCGAATGTACTTAGTGTCATGCGCGCTGCCCAGGTGAGAGGGAGGGCATTATTGGACTTAAACGGAAAGGCAAACACTGAGATGCTGAGGGAGCTGCTCCAGGAGCACCCGAATGTACTTAGTGTCATGCGCGCTGCCCAGGTGAGAGGGAGGGCATTATTGGACTTAAACGGAAAGGCAAACACTGAGATGCTGAGGGAGCTGCTGCAGGAGCACCCGAATGTACTTAGTGTCATGTGCGCTGCCCAGGTGAGAGGGAGGGCATTATTGGACTTAAACGGAAAGGCAAACACTGAGATGCTGAGGGAGCTGCTGCAGGAGCACCCGAATGTACTTAGTGTCATGCGCGCTGCCCAGGTGAGAGGGAGGGCATTATTGGACTTAAACGGAAAGGCAAACACTGAGATGCTGAGGGAGCTGCTCCAGGAGCACCCGAATGTACTTAGTGTCATGCGCGCTGCCCAGGTGAGAGGGAGGGCATTATTGGACTTAAACGGAAAGGCAAACACTGAGATGCTGAGGGAGCTGCTGCAGGAGCACCCGAATGTACTTAGTGTCATGCGCGCTGCCCAGGTGAGAGGGAGGGCATTATTGGACTTAAACGGAAAGGCAAACACTGAGATGCTGAGGGAGCTGCTGCAGGAGCACCCGAATGTACTTAGTGTCATGCGCGCTGCCCAGGTGAGAGGGAGGGCATTATTGGACTTAAACGGAAAGGCAAACACTGAGATGCTGAGGGAGCTGCTCCAGGAGCACCCGAATGTACTTAGTGTCATGCGCGCTGCCCAGGTGAGAGGGAGGGCATTATTGGACTTAAACGGAAAGGCAAACACTGAGATGCTGAGGGAGCTGCTGCAGGAGCACCCGAATGTACTTAGTGTCATGCGCGCTGCCCAGGTGAGAGGGATGGCATTATTGGACTTAAACGGAAAGGCAAACACTGAGATGCTGAGGGAGCTGCTCCAGGAGCACCCGAATGTACTTAGTGTCATGCGTGCTGCCCAGGTGAGAGGGAGGGCATTATTGGACTTAAACGGAAAGGCAAACACTGAGATGCTGAGGGAGCTGCTCCAGGAGCACCCGAATGTACTTAGTGTCATGCGCGCTGCCCAGGTGAGAGGGAGGGAGAGAGCATTCAATGAGAAAGACCGTTAGAGAGAGCATGAGTTGAGACAAAGCAGGAGTAAATATGCAGATGGTGAGGCATCACAAGACTGTCATGGGATTGTGGGGATGACTAGCAATTCAGCAGATCACCATCACATACAATTACAGCATAATACCTTTCTAAATATGCAAGAAACACGTGAGTTTGTGTGTGTCTGTGCGTGTGTGTGTGTGCATGTGTGTGTGTATGTATGTGTGTGCATGTGCATGTGCGTGTGCATGTGTATGTATGTCCTACCATGCCACCCATGCAGCTCCAGCTGTACAACAATACCTTAAAGCACATAGTGGGGGTGGAGCCAGCGCACATGAATCTGCTCGTGCTCGATTGGCAGCACCGCAACACCCTCTTCCTCGCACAGGCACTCTATCAGGTAGGAAGAGGTTTCGGCCTACCAGTGACAAAGGGGTTTGCTTTTCGCTCTACCAAATGTGAAAGGGTTCGCATTTTACCAGGTACCCTACCCCAGGGTCCCACCCTTGCAGCTCCAGCTGTACAACAACACAGTGAAGCACATAGTGGGAGTGGAATTAGCGCACATGAATCTGCTCGTGCTTGACTGGCAGCACCGCAACACCCTCTTCCTTGCACAGGCAGTCTATCAGGTAGGAAGGGGTTCGCGCTCTACCAGTAAACAAAGGCCATGTTCTCTACCAGGTAATAAAGGCCATGTGCTCACCTCTCTCCTCTCCTCGCCATCCTTTCCTTTCTCCCTAACCCCTTGGTCCCTCTTGCTCCCTTTCCTCCCCTCTCGCCTCGCTCCCCCCCCTCCAGCATGTCTAACGCTGCTGCGGCTGGGCAACGCCCACCGTCCAGTGCTTCCTACTCCAAACGACCCTTCATCCTCTCTCACCCCCCCTCTTTCCTCATCGTTGCTCCCCCCCCCCCCCTCCAGCCTGTCTACCGCTACCTCGGCCGGGCCACACCCACCATCTGGCGCTCCCTAATCCGAATCAGCCTCCCTCCTCTCCCAACCCCCGCCCCCCTTCTTCTCTTCCCCCCTCTCCAGCCTGTCTACCGCTACCTCGGCCGGGCCACACCCACCATCTGGCGCTCACTAATCCGAATCAGCCTCCCTCCTCTCCCAACCCCCGCCCCCCTTCTTCTCTTCCCCCCTCTCCAGCCTGTCTACCGCTACCTCGGCCGGGCCACACGCACCCACCATCTGGCACTTCCCAATCCAAAGCACCCCCAACCTCTCTCACCCCACCCTTCTCCTCTTTTTTGCCCCCCTCCCTCAGGCCTGTCTACCACTGTTGCAGTGTGGCCAGGCCACACCCGGTGTCTGGCGATTCCTGTTTCTAAGCACCTTCCTTCCTCACCTCCCTCCTCTCTGTCCTCTCTCCCCTTCCTCCTCCCTTGTTCCCTTTCCCCCAGCCTGTCTACCGCTGCTGCGGCCGGGCCACACCCACCATCTGGCGCTTCCTCCGCCGGAACTTTTTCCTTCCGCCCGACGGGCTGCCCATTTTTGAGCCTGAAACTTTCCGCCTCCGCCGAACCTCCCCACTTAATTACCAAGACATGACAGACTTACTTAGCCAGCGTGAGGAACAACAGTCACACCATCCCCGGCGGCTCGACGTGCTGAAGCCCGGACCTCTGCCGAGCCTAGCGGAGACGTTCGGGATGACGACGGGGCTGAACTGGGTGACGATCCTGGTTCGGAGGCCCGGGAATCTGTCTAGAAATCTGGAGGAGAGTGTGTATGAGAGGGTGGAGGGGTGGATGAGGAAGGAGTTTGGGGAGAGGCGAGTGGTGGTGTTTGATGGAACTCTGCCTCTCATGGAAGGTGAGTGTTGGAGTGCAGGATTGAATGAGTGAGCGAGTGAGTGAGAGTGAGTGACTTGATGTGAGTGGTGAAGGGAGTGGCGAGTGGTGGTTTTTTTATGGGAGGCTGCCTCTCATGGAAGGTGGGTGTTAAGGTGCAGGGGTGAGTGAGTGAGTGAGTGAATGAGTGGGGCTGTAAGTGTAGCATTGGGGGACTAAGCGAGCGTAGGAGTGGGTGACTGGGTGAGTGTGTTTGGAATGGGTGAGTGGGCTGGTGGGTGAGTAGAGAGAGAGTGCAGGAGTGGCTGAGGCTGTGAAAGAACAAACGAATTGGCACTCAGATATTGAGTAGAACAGTGTTATTCCCCCCCTGCCTCTCTTTTTGTCATTATTCCTTTTATCAAGTACTGTTAGATTATGTGGTAGCATGCTAAGATTTTGTGACAAATAGACAAGACGAGGGTCATAATATGGAGAAAGTGAAGGAACTGGAGAAGTCGGTGCTGGAGACAGTAACAGCAGCGAGGAAGGAAAAACGTGGTAAATACCCGAGAGAAGCTGAAGGAGTCGGAGGGATACTTAATGAACATGGAGGGAACATGTGCACGCATGAAGGTGAGGGCGTGTGCGTCAAACCGCCCACTCCCCTCCGTATTGTAAAATCAGCTTATTCCCCTCCGTGCTGTAAAATTAAACCTTCCCCCTCCGTGCCGTGAAGGGGAGGGGTTAATTTTATTGCACGGAGGGGGAGGGGTTGATTTACAGCATGGAGGAGAGGGGTGATTTTGGAACACGGAGGAAGAAAACGATGTGCCACACGCGTGCTCGCCTTCATGCGTGAGCATGTTCTCTCCATGCTCATTATGTAGTCTTCCAACTCCTTCAGCTTCTTTCGAGTAACCACCACATTTTTCCTTGCCCCACTGCTGTCACTGTCTCCAGCACCAATTCATCCTGTTCTTTTACTTTTCTTCATCGTCTGACCCTTGTCGTGTACTCTTGCTCCCCTCCCTCCCCTCAATACTTGACAAAGTGTGGTGTACAGTCGAGTTGACGTGTACCCCATTTTGGGTGTACATTTGTGTTGGGGTGCCAATCCACCATTCTGTGATGGAGCCCCGAGCCCCCAACACAAGAAGTTTGTTAATCGGTGGCCATTCCACATTGGTCCCAACCTTGTGATTGGTTCACCCAAACGCATTGTGGGACTGATAGTGGTTGACCATTCCACCACCAATTTGCCAATTTGCCCCCAACCACCTCCTTCCCTTCCACCGCTCTCTTGCATCGTATGTACTCCCTTCTTTTTGTCAATATCATCCAAATTCTTGATTTCTAACAAGTACTACATACTTCCGCTTACTTTCACACAAACTTGAAATTCTCTCCTCAATCTCTGCCCCCCCCATTCCCCGTCGTTGAAGCCCGGGCTCTCTTCCGCCGAGCCGCCCTATTGGTCGGCACGCACGGGGCCGCCCTGACCAACCTCCTCTTCATGCCACGTGGCGCTTTCCTACTGGAAATCCGCCCCCGGGGTTACCCCAACGCGTGTTACCACCACCTAGCCAGCGTGTCGCAGATGCACTATTGGCTGCTGCTGGGGAATGGGACAAAAGACTCCGCCCTGCAAGTGGACACAGGGGAGGTGTTATCTACGATAAGGGAAGTTGCTGGAAAGGTGTTTGCTGCTCTGAGGGGAGAGCCGAAAGACATGGGGGAGAGATTGGAAGAGAGAGCAAAAAGGGGAGAGGAAGAGGAAGGAAAGAAAGTTAAGGAGGGGAGCATTGCAGGGGTAAAGATCGGAGGGAAAGAGATTGGCAGCAGTGGTGGTGCCGCTGGTACCTCTACTGCTGCTGTGACTGCAGCGGCTACTGCAGCGACTGCTGATAGCAGCAACTCCACACCATCTGACGCCACTGGCACTGCTGCCACTACCCACCCCATCAGCACAGGCTCCTCTTCACCCACCTCTTCTGCCTCCGCCCCTCTTATTACTTCCCCCACCCCCATCCCCACCCCCATCCCCACCTCCCTCCCCACTTCCCTCCCCACTGACACCACCACTCCCTCCGCCTCCGCCTCTCTCACCCCCATCCCGCCCCTCCCTCCGCCCACCTTCCCCGTCCCCCTCTCCACCTCCCCCTCCGCCCTCCCTGCCACCTTCCCCTCGGGCTGCGCGTGCTACCGGCTCCGCAACGCCTTCTGCTGCACCCAGGCCGTCTGCGTCTGCCGCAACGTGTGCTACAACGGGTCGGCGTTGCTCGGCAGATACGGACCCGACATCACAGACACCACCGACACCACCGACACCACCGACAGCACCAGCAGCACCAGCAGCACTGCTTTCCCCCCGCGCCCCCCCCACCCCTGCCTCCCCCCGGTCCATGCTCCCGCCGCAGCCAACAAATCCGCGCTGCTCTCTCCCACGTCCTGCTCAAACCTGCCTCAGTTCGGCCGCATGCTGAGATCGGCGCTCTCAGAGGCGCCCGTGAAAGGCGGGCTGCAGGCCGCAGGGGATGCGCGGTGGCGGCGGTGGGTTGGGGGGGAGGCGGAGTGGCGAATGGGCGGGACTCTGTTTGTGCCTCTGACGCACCAGACCACCAACGTGGCACACTTTCTAGGTGGGCGTAAGTCAAAGGTGATTTGAACGTTCAAATCAAGCGAAAGCGGAAGTCAAGCCAGGAGAAAGTCAAAGGTGGAAGAGAAAAGGTGGAAGAGAAAGCGGAAAGTCAAGCCAGGAGGAATATCCGGATCGGGGCAAGCATTGACCGGAAAAGCTATAATATTTCTTTCTCCCATCCATTCCAAACCCTTTGGCTCTCTGAGCTTCACACACTGGCGCATCCTGGTTTCGATCGATTTGACACCCACAGCAGGCCATTTTGAAACACCTATAATCACCTTCCGTTTCTTTCTCTGTGCCCTCTCATGTGCAGGCAAGGCGGCACATATTCTTTTCGTGAACAACGTGACCTCCAAGACGGGCCTTTATGGGCCATTATAAAGCAAGTGATTTATCTTCCTGCTTTCTTTTTTCCCTCTCACGTGCAGGCAAGGCGGCACATATTCTTCTCGTGAACAACGTGACAGTTAAGAGCGGCCTGCCACGTGTCGATCGGTTCTTGCTCCCCCGTGCCGACTGGACCGTGCACAGGTGATGCATTTGACGCTTTCCACTCTGTCTCTCGTTCCTGTTTCGCCTCACTCTCTCTTCTCACTCTCACACCCACATGCAGTTTTTTCTCCTTCCCTCACCTAAACGCTATACCTCTCTGTCACTCACACCTCACTCAACCCCTTTTTCCTAACCGCCTTAATTCCCAGAATGAAGGAGCACGGGGCAAACGCCTAGCTGCCCTCCATGCTGCACCTCTTCCTCTTCATGGCACTCCAATCCCCTTTCACGCCCCCCTGTGACTCACACTCACCCACCTCATTCTCCAACCTGTTCCCTAACCCGCTTCTCTCTCAGAATGAAGGAGCACGGACCACACGGCTGGCTGCCATCAATGCTGCACCTCCTCCTCCGCATGGCACTCGAGCCTCTCCTCCCCGCCTCCCTCCTCCCCTCCCTCCTCGCCTCCATCTCGCCTTCCTCCCTCCTCTCCCCCGGCCCTCTGGCTGGAGGGCGGGTGGAGTTTGAGGGGCAGTTGAATGCTGCAAGCGATGAGAGGCCCATGTGCTTCCAGACACTCGTGGTGCCCGGATTTCTCAAGGTGAGTCTCTCTTCCCTTCTCAAGGTGTGTTTTTGAGACCCCTCAAGGCTTGTGGGCCGTGACAGGGTGAGTTTGAGGGGCAGTTGAATGCAGCCAGCGATGAGCAGCCCATGTGCTTCCAGACCCTTGTTGTGCCTGGCTTTCTTAAGGTACGCCTGTCTTCCCTCATCAAGGTGTGTTTTAAAGGCTGGTGGGCGGGCGGAGTTTGAGGGGCAGTTGAATGCAGCTAGTGATGAGCGTCCCATGTGCTTCCAGACGCTTGTTTTGCTTGGCCTACTTAAGATGAGGCACTTTGTGCTTCCATTCTTGTTCTGTGCATGTGCTTCCGGACACTTATTGAGCCCGGCCTGCTCAAGGTGCTTTCCTGTCTTCTGACGCGAGCAGTAATTGAAGGAGGCGTATCCCTCCTTCAACTCCCCCCCACATTGCAACTCGTATCTTCAATCTTACTTATCGCAAGGCCGCCACGTTCAACGGTATGGCAGAGGAGGCAGAGCTGGTGAGGCAGCGACTGAGAGAGGTGTTTCTCTTTTCACCTCTCCCCCGCATTCCAACTCTGACCTTCCTGCACCTCAACTGCCCCCTCCCACTCCCCATCCTTCCAGGCCATCACATTCAATGGCATGGCGGAGGAGGCAGAGCTGGTGAGGCAGCGACTGAGAGAGGTGTTTCTCTTTTCACCTCTCCCCCGCATTCCAACTCTGACCTTCCTGCACCTCAACTGCCCCCTCCCACTCCCCATCCCTCCAGGCCATCACATTCAATGGCATGGCGGAGGAGGCAGAGCTGGTGAGGCAGCGACTGAGAGAGGTGTTTCTCTTTTCACCTCTCCCCCGCATTCCAACTCTGACCTTCCTGCACCCAACTGCCCCCTCCCACTCCCCATCCCTCCAGGCCATCACATTCAATGGCATGGCGGAGGAGGCAGAGCTGGTGAGGCAGCGATTGAGAGAGGTTGCCTCTTGCCGCTTCCTTCCTTCAATTACCCCTTGTACCTCACCAACTCCCCACATCTCTCCCTTCCCCTCCAGGCCATCACATTCAACGGTATGGCGGAGGAGGCAGAGGTGGTGAGGCAGCGACTGAGGGAGGTGTTTCTCACTCCCGACGGCCAACCGGTGCCCGATATCATGGCCGCGAGCTCTGGTGGTGGTGGAAGTGCTGGTGACAGCAGCAGCAGCAGCAGTAGCAGCAGCGGTGGCAGCGGCGGCAGCAGCGGTGGCAGCGGCGGCAGCAGCGGTGGTGGCGGCAGCAGCGGCGATCGGCACTACCCTGACGATGGGTCGCGGGTGCGGCTGCTGTATGTGACGCGCAACGACACCATGACCACTGGGAGGAGAGTTATGCACCCTGACAGCCACAAGGCCCTACAAGAGCTTTTCAACCAGATGGGTTTCGAGGTGAGATCGAATGTGTGCATACATGTGTGGGAAGGGGGATGCATGCATGTGAAGGTGGGCCACATGTGACCCGCAACGACACCATGACCACTGGGAGGAGGGCGATGCACCCAGACAGCCACAAGTCGTTGCAGGAGCTTTTCAACCGGATGGATTTCCAGGTGATGCCTGCATGCATGCGTGCCTGTCTGGGTGCGATCGAATGTGTGTATAAGTGTGTGGGTTGGGGAGGTGTATGTGTCATCAATGCATGGGTCACGGGTGCAGCTGCTGTCTGTGACGCGCAACGACACCATGACGACTGGGAGGAGAGTCATGCACGCAGACTGTCTGGGTGCATGACCCTCCACCCGGTCACTATCGTGCCATTTCTCGTCACATACAGCAGCAGAAACTGTTACCCACATGTGGATGCAACCGCCCACGCATGCTCTTATACACACATTTGCTCGCTCCTGAGATTTCATCCTATTGAAAAGCACCTGCAGGCCCCAGTGGCTGCTGCATGTGACGCTGTCCCCCCATTCTCGGTAGCTAGTCCGTCACTTCTTAGCCCAGCAGGTCCCCTACAAACCCTCCCTTCACTTCCCACACTCTGACACTCTCCCTCGCCCACCTCCCCACAGGTGACAATGACAGAATATTCTGTTCTCCCTTTCTCTCAGCAGCTTGCCCTCACTGATTCCGCCTAAGTTATCGTGGCCCTACACGGTACATGTCTCACCAACAACCCTCCCTTCCCTCCCTCTCCTCTCCCACTCATCCTGTCCCCCTTCCTCGCCTATTCTCCCAACAACAGGTGACAATGACAGAATACGCAGTCCTCCCTTTTTCCCAACAGCTAGCCCTCACTGATTCCGCTGAAGTGATCGTGGCCCTACACGGTGCAGGCCTCACCAACAAACCCTCCCTTCCCTCCCTCGCCTCTCACTCACTCTGACACCCCCCCTCCCACATCTCCCACAGGTGACAATGACAGAATACGCCGTCCTCCCTTTCTCCCAACAGCTAGCCCTCACTGAATCCGCCGAAATAATCGTGGCGTTACACGGCGCAGGTCTCACCAACCCCACCTGCTTCGCTCGTTCAGACGCAATCGTTCTCGAGATCTCCCCCTTCGGAGTGTTCTACGATCTGTATTACTACACCGCAATAAACGCGGGGATAAATTACATGCAGTATCAGTGCACCGCGGGGCCTCCGCCCGCGCCTGCTAACGATTCGCTCTATGCGGGGATGAGTCCGATGGAGTGCGATCGGGATGCGGCGTGTAAGAAGTATCGCACGCACACGCGAAAGGTACACTTGGCCGATCAAGACGTAAACGGCATTGAAAAGCTGTTAAAATTTGCCCAGGAATTTGCGCTGGGTGTTAGGAAGAATGGGAGGGAGGAGGCTGGTAAGCAATTGAAGCAGTCTTATGGGAAGCGGTGTTTGGAGAAGAAGTTGAGAAAGGAGTGTAGGATGAGTTTTCTGCGCTCGCCCTTAGCTGATCCTGATTATGAGTGTATCTTGTCACTTGACTGCCCATACATCCAGCCTGTATAATTTGTATTAATCCTTCTCTCATTGCCATACTCCCGGTATGCATCCTTTCTCGCCGAGATACAATGCAGTGCATCGAAGTGTCATCTTGGTACCGTACCATGAGGAACAAAGATGACATACCCATGGCAGCCGATTCAGTACAGATTCTATGCAGTGCATGCCAGTGTAATTCCTGCCTGCCTTGCTCAAGGTCTGCTACAGTGCTGTTCAGGAATTGGTAGTACCAGTACACTTGCAAGACTGCTGGGCAGCAAGCAACTGCCATTCCTAATCCGCAAATCTTAATTTACCAGCACATATCTTATCCACAATATACAAAATAGACAGAATGACATCACTGTGCAACATTATCCATCCCCAAAGATTGACACGTCATCTGGATGCTCGTCCCCTGGCAAAGGCGGAAACGTCTTGGCAATGTCCTTCAACACTGTAACCTTCCCCACATCAATCTTCACTACGCTCTCCCCATCCCCGTCCCCAAACGTCAGGTAATACCGGAGCTCACACGCGTGTGCTAGGTGGTGGTAACACGCATTGTTGCTCTTGTCGGGACTAATTTCATACACTGTCATGTTGGGTCGCATGAAGACCATGTTTGCCATTGCTGCTCCGTGACCCGCTATAAGCAGCCTCGCTCTTCGAAACAGCGACCGAGCTGGGGGTGTGGGAACAGGTACAGGAAGGTGGGTCAAAGAAAACGTTTGGAAAAAAAAGAACGGATCGAACACATGGTAAGAGGTGTGACTGGTTGTAAGAAGCGGTGCTATCAGGATCGGAGTGCTCGTGGCACGTGCAGGAAGGTGAACAGAGAAGGGGAGATGGAGGAAGGTGAAGGAGTTAGAGGCAGAAAACCTGGGGGGAACATGAAATTATCATTGCTTAACATTGTTGGAAAGGGAAAAATAAAACAGAAGGAAAAAAAGAAAAAAAAAAATCAGCCATCTACCTTTGAGCATGGGCACTGAGCCGTTGAGTACATGCACCCGGTTGAGAAAGAACACCGACACGGCCAAGTCATTCATTTTTAGACTTCTCTCAAATGATACAAACATACCTTTGAGCATGGGGACCGAGCCGTTCAGCACACGCACCCGGTTGAGTGAGAACACCGACACGGCCAAGTCATTCATTTTTAGACTTCTCTCAAATGATACAAACATACCTTTGAGCATGGGGACCGAGCCGTTCAGCACACGCACCCGGTTGAGTGAGAACACCGACACGGCCGACTCATACAGCTTGGCATTTGATTCGACTCAAAAGCCATGCCGCCTACCTTTGAGCATGGGCACTGAGCCGTTGAGCACATGGACCCTACCTAATGAGAACACCAAGACACGCGGTCTTTTGACATAACGCTCAACTAGCAACAGACTCTGGTCACATACCTTTGAGCATGGGCACGGAACCGTTCAGCACATACACCCGGTTGAGGGAGAACACGGACACGGCAGACTCGTACAGCTCGTCCCAGCTGTCCAATGGGCGCTTGACACCTGGCCGCCTACAGCTGAAATGAGAATTCTGGGCACTGATACAAGCATACCTTTGAGCATAGGCACTGAGCCGTTGAGCACATGAACCCTATTCAATGAGAACACCGACACGGCCGCCTCATACAGCTCATCCCAGCGGTCCAATGAGCGTTTGACACCTGGCCGCCGCACCAGCAGCACCATCCAATCGGGCGGCACTATTGCCGCCTCGGTCTGGTTCACCGGATTGGCCAATCCTGGCCGTTGGATCCAGCTGGTGGGCGGAAAGATGGGGAGGCCTTGCGGGGCAAGAAGGAAGTGGGAGCGGAGGAGCGACCAGAGGGAAGGGCTGGCCTTGCCACATGCCTGGTATAGCGGCTGGGGTGTTGGAGAGGCAGGGAAGGGGTAACAGGAAGACAAAGGAACGGTGGAAGGCTTATACTAAATTAAGCACAGCCATTGAGCAATGAAAGCACAGCAATTGAGCAATGAAAGCACAGAAATTGAATCAGCCTTGAAGTGGCAAAACGCTTTAGCTTTGGCATAGAGCATAAAAGGTATAAGTTGAAGTGTGCACAGGGGAGTCCCAAGTAGGGTTGAGCACGGGCCGGGCCGGCGGGCCCAGCCTGGCCCGCATGAGCTAGACCTCGGCCCGAGTTCGCCCAGGGGTTACCCAGGCCGAAATGGCCAGACCCGGGCCGGGCGTGGAGGGTAATTCGTTTTTGGGCCTGTTTTAGAGAGGCAAACAAGTCTATGGCCCGCCCCTTAACGGGCGGGCCAAAAGCAGGCCGCCTCCGGCCCGGCGGGCCGGCCCCAGCCCCTTTTTTTGCTCATCCCTAGTCCCAAGCATGACTTACAAGGTACACCTCATCGGCATAGAAGAGCTCCCCGCGGCTTATATTGAGTCGGTTCATAGCGAATTGTTCCACACCTATAATAGGCTTCGATATATTCTCGTAGAAATCCCACTGCATGGAAAGGAGAAAGAGTGAGAGGGAAGTGAGACGGGGTGAGAGAGTGGAGGAAGGTCCTCTAAAGCAGACGGTGAACAAGAGACATGCACCTACTTGCAAAATTCCCATTGCAGTGAATGGAAAGCTAAGCCCTTTGTACACGCCTACACCAGATATACCTGGTGAGCCCATGTGGACCTTACAATCCCAAGCCAGATGTACCCTCGTTGCGAGATGTACGCACAGAGTACATTCCTTAGCCACCTACAGCAGGGAACAGCAAGTGTACCTGGTCATGGATGGCGAGCAGAGGGATGGTGGGGTGGGCGCGCAGCAGAGAGCTGAGGAGGACTTGATAAGCCTGCACCAGGCGTACCTCTTTGCAAGCATGGGTGTACATGACTTCAACAACACCAGGGATACCTACCTGGTCGTGGATGGCGAGCAGAGGGATGGTGGGGTGGGCGCGCAGCAGAGAGCTGAGGAGGACTTGATAAGCCTGCACCAGGCGTACCTCTTTGCAAGCATGGGTGTACATGACTTCAACAACACCAGGGGTACCTACCTGGTCGTGGATGGCGAGCAGAGGGATGGTGGGGTGGGTGCGCAGCAGAGAGCTGAGGAGGACTTGATAAGCCTGCACCAGGCGTACCTCTTTGCAAGCATGGGTGTACATGACTTCAACAACACCAGGGGTACCTACCTGGTCGTGGATGGCGAGCAGAGGGATGGTGGGGTGGGCGCGCAGCAGAGAGCTGAGGAGGACTTGATAAGCCTGCACCAGGCGTACCTCTTTGCAAGCATGGGTGTACATGACTTCAACAACACCAGGGGTACCTACCTGGTCGTGGATGGCGAGCAGAGGGATGGTGGGGTGGGCGCGCAGCAGAGAGCTGAGGAGGACTTGATAAGCCTGCACCAGGCGTACCTCTTTGCAAGCATGGGTGTACATGACTTCAACAACACCAGGGGTACCTACCTGGTCGTGGATGGCGAGCAGAGGGATGGTGGGGTGGGTGCGCAGCAGAGAGCTGAGGAGGACTTGATAAGCCTGCACCAGGCGTACCTCTTTGCAAGCATGGGTGTACATGACTTCAACAACACCAGGGGTACCTACCTGGTCGTGGATGGCGAGCAGAGGGATGGTGGGGTGGGCGCGCAGCAGAGAGCTGAGGAGGACTTGATAAGCCTGCACCAGGCGTACCTCTTTGCAAGCATGGGTGTACATGACTTCAACAACACCAGGGGTACCTACCTGGTCGTGGATGGCGAGCAGAGGGATGGTGGGGTGGGCGCGCAGCAGAGAGCTGAGGAGGACTTGATAAGCCTGCACCAGGCGTACCTCTTTGCAAGCATGGGTGTACATGACTTCAACAACACCAGGGGTACCTACCTGGTCGTGGATGGCGAGCAGAGGGATGGTGGGGTGGGCGCGCAGCAGAGAGCTGAGAAGGAAGAGCTGGGGCGTCCACTCGATGAGCCCGTGATAGAAGTTGCGGCCCTGGTAGTACGCCAGGTTCGCCACTCGCTTCAACTTATGCACCTTTGTCCCTTTTTTGTACTCAAACTGCAAGGATGAAATCGGGAAAGGACGGGTGGAACTGATGAGCCCGTGATAGAAGTTGCGGCCCTGGTATGGTAGTACGCCAGGTTCACCACCCTCTTGAGCTTGTTAACCTTTGTGCCCTTCTTGTACTCAAACTGCATGGATAGTGTTGGGATACGAATAGGGAAGGAGTGAGTGAATGGATGAGCCCTTGGTACAAGTTGTGGCTCTGGTGGTACGCCCGTCAGGTTCACCACTAGCTTCAGCTAGTTAACCTTTGTCCCCTTCTTGTACTCAAACTGCCAGAATGGTGTTGATATGGGGGAGGTGTTGAGAGGAGGGAGGTGAGTTGAGTGATGAGCTTGAGGGTAGAAGTTGCGGCCCTGGTAGTACACCAGATTCACCACCCTCTTGTTGAGATCATGCACCTTTGTCCCCTTCTTGTACTCAAACTGCGGAAGGGGTGGGGATGACATGAAGGAAGGGAGTCCACACATTGTAATCCCATGCACACATTGCAACCCCATGCACACATGGTAATCCCATGCACACATTGCAACCCCATGCACACATGGTAATCCCATGCACACATTGCAACCCCATGCACACATTGTAATCCCATGCACACATTGTCACCCCATGCACACATTGTCACCCCATGCACACATTGTCACCCCATGCACACATTGTCACCCCATGCACACATTGTCACCCCATGCACACATTGTCACCCCATGCACACATTGTCACCCCATGCACACATTGTCACCTCATGAACACTCATCGCACACACCAAGACACTTACCGGAGAGTCGTTGTTGCATCCCTCGCGGTTGAAGTGAGTCGTTTTGTTGAACACGTGCCCCTCGTGGTCGATATACACTCCCCGCAAAAGGTAAATCTGGAATGTACCCGGTTCATACCACCCGAAATCGGACGTATGCGAGCAGCTCTCATCCCTCCCCTCTGGCCCCACAGTCGTAATATTTGCTTTCTTCGGGCAGTTTATAGGAATCGCCGGGCGGGCAAAACCCTGGTCTGAAATCTCATCCATACTGCAAGCCGAAGCTTCGTGGTTCGACTCACACCTGCCCGGAAAATCCGGGCACGGGCTGCCCGTACAGTTAAGAATTGCCTTGCGCTTATCATGTGCCACCCCTGAATTCACATGCACCTGTTTCATCACAGCCCGTTTCAAATCTTCACTCAACTCCCCAATCGTCACCACCCTCTCTCCCTCCATCTTCTTTAAAGTCTTCTCATCCACAATCTTCACCTCCTCCTCCTGCTCCTCCGCCCCTACATCTGTGTCATTCAGCGCCTTTAGAGTCACATCCGCCATAAGCTCAAGCGGAATAGTCAGCTCCGCATTCCCCCCTCCCCCGCCGTCCTCATCCTCCTCCCCATCCAACCCACCCCCCTCATCCCAATCCTCCTCCCCAACCGCCTCCAGCGGCGGCAGCAGGTTAATCGACTCAAACTTTTCAGCTGACATTCTCGCGCGCGTGCGATTGGCTATCAATCTCAGCACCTCAACCGCCTCAGTGTGATTGAACTTCAACTCGCTGTCCTTGGTACCGTTCCCGAGGATCAAGTGCTAGTGCATCTGGGTGGCTGTGGCGAGGTGGTGGTAGCACGGGTTGGGGTAGCCGCGCGGACGGATTTCAAAGATGCTGGCGTTGAGCGGCATGAAGACCATGTTGGCCAGGGCTGCCCCGTGCAACCCCACAAACACCGCTGCTCTGTTGAATACGGTCTTGGCTGGGAGGGACAAGAGGGCAGGGAAGGGGATAACGGGATGTGGGATTTGATTCGCTGTCCTTTGTCCCACTCCCGAGGATCAAATGGTAGTGCATCTGGGTGGCTGTGGCGAGGTGGTGGTAGCACGGGTTGGGGTAGCCGCGCGGACGGATTTCAAAGATGCTGGCGTTGAGCGGCATGAAGACCATGTTGGCCAGGGCTGCCCCGTGCAACCCCACAAACACCGCTGCTCTGTTGAATACGGTCTTGGCTGGGAGGGACAAGAGGGCAGGGAAGGGGATAACGGGATGTGGGATTTGATTCGCTGTCCTTTGTCCCACTCCCGAGGATCAAATGGTAGTGCATCTGGGTGGCTGTGGCGAGGTGGTGGTAGCACGGGTTGGGGTAGCCGCGCGGACGGATTTCAAAGATGCTGGCGTTGAGCGGCATGAAGACCATGTTGGCCAGGGCTGCCCCGTGCAACCCCACAAACACCGCTGCTCTGTTGAACACTGTTTTGGCTGGGATGGGCACAAAGGCAGGGACGGGGAGACAGCAAGTGGAATGACAAGACAGGATCAGGCACAGGAGGTGCTGGCGTTGAGAGGCATGAAGACCATGTTGGCCAGGCCTGCCCCGTGCAACCCCACAAACACCGCTGCCCAAGGTGTGTTGCGCTGGGGTAACAGTAAAGGTGAGTTGGCGAGTTGGGGGCAGTTGACAATCTGGGTGCTCGTTGTGTGACTGATTGCTCGGCGCCACAAGTCCAAGCGGCGCATCGCTGGCTTCCCGCAATTGGTGGATTCAGTGGAGCAGATCTTTCACCCGTCAAGGGTCTATGTGTTTGATGGCAAGCTGAATCTCACCCAAGGTGAGATGAGTTGGAAGCACGGCTTGAGGGCCATCACAAGCCACTCGGGTCTAGTCTAGCCATTGGCGGACTGACTCCATGAAGCACATCTTCCACCCTTCTAGGGTCTACATGTTCGACGGCAAGCTGAATGTCACCCAAGGTGCCTTTTGAGTCGACTCAAAAGCCAAGGTGCGCTGGGCTGGGTTGGGTTGCCATCACAAGATACCCGGGTCTAGCCATTGGCGGACGGACTCCATGAAGCACATCTTCCACCCTTTTCGAGTCAACGTATTTGATGGCAAGCTAAGCTGCCTCTCATCTCGCCCAAGATGAGTTGGACCAACCTGGTTACGAGCTCGTTGGAGCTGAAGCCCAGCTTCCTTGCCCTCTTGTCCCTCCCCTCCCCCCTCCCATCCCAGCCAAAACCGTGTTCAACAGGGCAGCAGTGTTCGTGGGGTTGCACGGGGCAGGCCTGGCCAACATGGTCTTCATGCCTCTCAACGCCAGCACCTCGTCTGTCTCCTCCTGTCTTCCCATCGAACACATACACCCTGGAAGGGTGGAAGATCTGCTTCATGGAGTTCACCAATTGACTGGACCCGACAGGCTTCTGATGACACTCAAACCACTCCGCGTGGACTGAACCATTCTCCCAACCCAGCGCACCTTGGGTGACATTCAGCTTGCCATCGAACACATAAACTCTGAAAGGGTGGAAGATCTGCTTCATGGAATCCACCAATTGCGGGAAGCCAGCGATGTGCCGCTTGGACTTGTGATGGCTTGCAAACAACAAACACCCAGACTGTACAGAGCTCTCCCAACTAACCTTGGGTGACATTCAGCTTGCCATCGAAGACATAGACCCTAGAAGGGTGGAAGATCTGCTTCATGGAATCCACCAATTGCGGGAAGCCAGCGATGCGGCGCTTGGACTTGTGGCGCCGAGCAATCACAGCGAGCCAGCTGGCGGGCAGCCGAGCCATCTGCTCGTCCGTCCACGGAGGGGGGATGCTGCTGCTATTGGTGGCGGCGCTGCTGCTGTTCCCAGTGCTGTCACTGCTGCTGCTGCTGTTGCCAGGGTGTCGGGGAGCAAAGCCCGGGCCGAACATGGGGAGGCCGTCGGATGGCACGAGGTAGCGCCGCCTCAGCTCCCGCCACACGCCTGGTGCTGCCCTGCCGCATGCTTGGAACACAGGCTGCAGTGGTGGTGTGGGGGGGAGGAAGGATAGGACGAGGGAGTTGGTGACACGACGTAGAACCGCCGCCTCAGCTCCCGCCACACGCCTGGCGCCGCCCTGCCGCATCCTTGGAACACAGGCTGTAGTGCGGATGGGGGGAGGGGGAGGGTGGGGGAGCGAGTGGGTGGAAGGGACCATAGAGCTGGTTTGAGCCGCCTCAGCTCCCGCCACTCGCCTGGCGGGTACAAAAAATCAGCTCATCATAGCAAGGTGCGGGATTTGGGGCAAACTGCTATGCTTTTGTTTCCATTCCGATGTCGGATATGCATGTGGTCACGAAGAGAACAGCGAGGTAGGGGAGCACAGCACGCCCATCAGCATATACCTGGCATGCCACAACAGCAGCATGTACCGGCAGTGCGCCATGTCAGCATATAGCCGGTACGCCACATCAGCACGTACCTGGAACGAACGTCAGCACGTACGTACCTGGTACGCCATGTCAGCGTGCAGCAGCATCTTCTGGTTGCGATCGTCCACGAGAACAAGGTTCAGCTCACGCGAGGTGATGCCCACGATGGGGTACAGCACAGAGTCGTACATCTTCAGCTGTGCTGGCGGGGAGCAGGAGAGAGGAGTGCAGTACGGTTCAAGGTGACTTATGAGCGTGGTAAGAGCTACTTGAGAACGAGGTTCAGCTCACGCGAGCTGACGTCCACGATGGGGTACAGCATAGAGTCGTACATCTTCAGCTGTGCTGGCGGGGAGCAGAGGGGTGCAGTACGGTTCAAGGTGACTTGTGAGCGTGGTAAGAGCGACTTGAGAACGAGCAAAGAAAGGGCTCTTAGTCGTGAGCAGCAGGAGAGGCAAGACTCAAGCATGGTAGAGACTAGGCTCAAACAGCCCTAAATAGCTGCAGAGAGCTGGGAAAAGGAAACGCAGCCTCCCACTCCCCCCTCTTCCCCACCAAGCTGGTAAACCAAAGACACTTGCCTGTTTGCGGCTGACAGCGATGGGCATGCCGGGGTTGTCTTTCAGAAGAGGGGCGAGCAGCAGGAAGTGAGGCACCACCTCAATGAGCGTGTGGTAGAACGCCCACCCTTCAGCCACCTTCCGTTCCCGCCCACACACAACTCAAACAGCCGATACAACGAACAAATGCTTGCCTGTTTGCGGCTGACAGCGATGGGCATGCCGGGGTTGTCTTTCAGCAGAGGGGCGAGCAGCAGGAAGTGAGGCACCACCTCAATGAGCGTGTGGTAGAACGCCCCGCCCAGCTGGTACAGCAGCGATATGAGGCGGTGGTAGTGCTGCACACTGGTTTGATTCGCGTGGTAGGCGAACTGCAGGGAGTGGGGGGTAGGGAAACAATAAAGTTGGCGCGAACTTGATGCATCAGAGAGACACAAGTTGATGGTAGTGATGCAAGCTTGTCTGGTTGGCGTGGTAGGCGAACTGCAGGCGGGAGAGGGTGTGAGTGAGCAAGAGTGGGAGAGTGTGTAGCATAGACGGGCAGGGAGGGCGACGAGCGATAAAAAGGGTGTCAAAAACGGGAACTGCTTTGTGACTATGGAGAACAGGAAATGCCTTAAGAATGTAAACAAGGAAACTGATTTGTGACCTCGCCTCACCTCACCTCACCTCACCTCACCTCACCTCACCTCACCTCACCTCACCTCACCTCACCTCACCTCACCTCACCTCACCTCTTTGTCCTTGAAGCAGCCGTGGCGGAAGAAGTGCAGCGACTCGTTAAAGAGCACCCCGTTAGCATCCACAAACACGTCCTTGATCTCATAATACTGCGGCACATACTTATCGAATCTCAGATTATCCCCAGGGTGGGTACACCTAGGATCCGCCCCCTTCGCCCCAACCTCATCCCAGTTCGACAGCTTCGGGCAGTTCTCAGGCTGGTCCGGGTAAATATAATCCTCGTCCACGAGGTTCGGCCAGAAGCAGGCTCGCACATTCGGAAATGCCGGGCCGCAGCTGTCTAGGTTCGGGCAGGTGCCACCCATGCAGTGCAGTTCTACCTCCCCCTTGTGCACGTTTCGGTGGTATTCCAGGAAGGTGCTATTCAGCTTGTTGCGGTAGATGCCACGGGGGAGAGAGGTGGTTTTCAGCAGGCCTTCCGTGAAGGTGGGACGCGGTGGCAGGGTATCACTGATGTGGACGTGGTGGGGAGGGGAGGGAGAGGGATGGATGGATAAGTAGCAGGTTTACGAGAGGTGCTATTCAGCTTGTTGCGGTGAATACCACGAGGGAGAGAGGTGGTTTTCAAAAGGCCCTCTGTGAAAGTAGGACGCTGTGGCAGGGCGTCACTGATGTGGATGTGGAGGGGAGGGGAGGGGAGGGAGAGGGATGCATGCACAAGTAGCAGGTTCAAACGAGGTGCTCTTTGGCTTGTAGACGTATATGCTTAAAAGGAAAGGGGTCCTTCTCAACAGGCCTTCTATGAAAGTGGAATGCGCTGGCAGGGCGTGACTGATGCGGTGCCAGTGAGGGGAGGTAGAGGGATGCATGGACAAGTAGCAGGTTTAGGGAGGGTGCTATTAAGCTTGTATAGGAACATGCTCGAAGGGAGAGAGGTAGTGTGGTGGGGTGGGAAAGAGGAAGAGACTGTGAAGGAGGCAAACAAACAAAAAAAAAGAGCAAGAGGGTGTGGGTGTGTGGAAGACTGACAGTGCAGCGCCGTCGCCAGAGCCGCCAGTGGCAGCAGCCTTGATTGTGGCAGCTCCAGCTGGCTGGGCGGTGCCCTCAGCAGGCCCCTCCAGCAGTTTTCTTCAGTCAAATGAAACAACATTCAAAGGAACAAGTTTCTGACAGTGCAGCGCCGTCGCCAGAGCCGCCAGTGGCAGCAGCCTTGCTTGTGGCAGCTCCAGCCGGCTGGGCGGTGCCCTCAGCAGGCCCGTCCAGCAGTTTTCTTCAGTCAAATGAAACAACATCCAAAGGAACAAGTTACTGACAGTGCAGCGCCGTCGCCAGAGCCGCCAGTGGCAGCAGCCTTGCTTGTGGCAGCTCCAGCCGGCTGGGCGGTGCCCTCAGCAGGCCCGTCCAGCAGTTTTCTTCAGTCAAATGAAACAACATCCAAAGGAACAAGTTACTGACAGTGCAGCGCCGTCGCCAGAGCCGCCAGTGGCAGCAGCCTTGCTTGTGGCAGCTCCAGCCGGCTGGGCGGTGCCCTCAGCAGGCCCGTCCAGCAGCTGCTGGTTGAGCTGCTCCTCCATCTCCGCCACGCGCCCCAGCAGCAGCTCATCTGATGACTGTGCTGCTACCAGTGCTGAGGGAAACGGCGTGGTAAAGCACAGGGGTGGGTGGGTGCATAGTGGGGGTTGACTAATGAGGAGAGGAGACAGACGCGCCTGTAGCTGTTGCTGCGTCTCCGTCACGCGCCCCAGCAGCAGCAGCTCATGGGACGACTGCGCTGCCACAAGTGCTGCGACAAACAGGGTGGGTTGGGTTAACACAGGGGTGGGTGCGTGCATGGAGAGGGTTAGGTTGTGAGGAGAGATAGACGGTAGTGTTCAACCTCCGCCACGCGGCCCAGCAGCAGCTCATCAAGGGACTGCACGCTGCGACTGCCACTGAGGGAGACAGGTTGGTGTAAGACAGGGGTGGGGTGGGTGGGTGCACGCGGTAAGGTTTTGATTAGTGAGAGGACAGAAGCTACTAGGCTGTTCTTCAATTCCGCCACCGGGCCCTGCAGGCCATCGAATGACCGGGCTGCAACTACTGCTGAGGGAAATAAGGAACGGATGCAGTGAGGGAAGCCGCGTCTTCGACACAGGGGCGAAAGGAGGTCTCAGCAGAGACATTCGGATCGCCAACGGGGATTCGAGCAGGCTGTAAGAAAGGAACCTGTCCGGTAGGTACGGGATGGCGCAAATTGACGGGGGAACCTGTAACCGGCAACGGAAACAGATACTGGGCGACATAATTGAAGCGCTGGTGACACCAAAGACAAACTCTTGAGGCGCTTCAAAAGTCGGTAGGTGATGGATGACGCAATTGAGGCGCCGGACGCACCAAGGACAAAACGAGTACTACGGTATTAGTGAGTATTAGGATGTAGCGAGTCTACACAATGACAGGTATTTGGAAGCTAAGCCGACCGAGCACTCAACAGCTGAGCGGGATGCAGTTGAATGAAGAGATAGTTTATCGGATCACCTGGTTTTCAGTCAAATGGGAAACGATATTAACTATGATAGACATACCTGTGAGAAGGGACAGCGAAATGCAATACCATGCCACGGAAGCCGTACAGGCACCCATGAGGTGCGATCGCGCTCTCTAAGTTTGACTCATAGATTATGCATGCAGAGCACAGAGGCTTGGAACAGGTGATTACAAGTTGTAAGGATCTAAAATTGGACCAGTTGTTCGAGTTGCAGGAGCCAAGGTTGGTGTTGGGAACGAGCTGGGAAACCTGCTGCTAGTAGGTGCTAGTTGGGTGCTAGCGATTAGTGGGTTGCGTTGCGAGCCGTAGCATCATCCACGTCAGCCTGTGTTGTTCGCCATGTCTTCTACCGGCGCAAACCAGTTACTCCTATAATGGTTTAAATCTAAATCATGACAAAATTAACTGGCTTGTATAAAACATGTCGCATTGGTATTAAAAAACAAAATCAGAACACAATCACTCACTCACATGTGTCACATACAATACCTAGACTTCAGCGTCCTTCATATAACACAATCTCTGAACTACCCTATATGTTACAGCGATTTAGGGATTTGTAGCCCAAATATAGTGGGAAAACAAATGAAAAATCTGAATCCATTATCAATCAGAACATATATATGTTTACTAAGACTGCTCATGTACATGAGGTTAACAAATGTTAAAATAAAACTCTGAAGTGTACATGATGACTATCCATGCCAGGTGATGACCCTTACTGACGGAGTGCAGGAGCCTCTGACGATTCGGAGGGTTTGCAGTCTGCGGTGCAGAGCCCACGGATTTTGAAATTTGGCGCGGAATCCTGGTGACTGACTCGAGGCGGCTCGGGCTGCCTATCCCCCCTTCCCCATGCCTGCTATGGTGTGGCATCATGGAAGGGAATTCATTCAGGTTGGCATCGCATTGGGATTATCTCACAGCCAGGGAGTAGTGAATGTGTTCAGCTTGTTCTCTTCAATTTGAGTCCTAGACTCTCAGCTGAGCTTTTGTGTAGGTACCAATTGTGCTTGAGTGGGGAGAAGCAGTCAGAAGTTTACTTCGGTTCCACGTATTATCCAACCTGTTAAGGACAACCTTAGGAGCCAGAGAGGACTGTCAGACATGGACATGGACTATATGAGCGATGACGAGAACTTCATTCCACTTGTAAGTACGCAAGCCATTTTCGAAATTGTTATTCAGCCAGGCGGTTCTCTTTATGCTAATTGATGGATTGCGTTTCAGACGAAGAAGAAGGCTGCACCGAAAGCTGCGGCGAAGAAGGCCAAGGAACCTCTTCAGCTCAGCACGGCAGCAAACATCAGCAAGGGAAGGACAATTGAGCAGACATACCAGAAGAAAACTCCGCTAGAACACGTCCTCCTGAGGCCAGACACTTACGTCGGATCAGTTCAGAGCCACACGCAGACCTTGTGGGTCTACGAGAATGGCAGAATGGTACATCGCGAGGCGACCATCGTCCCTGGCTTGTACAAGATCTTTGACGAGATTCTCGTCAACGCCGCCGACAACAAACAGAGAGATCCCTCCATGGACTTGCTCAAAGTGAACATTGACCCGGAAAAGAACATGATTAAGGTGAGCTGCATTCCAAGATAGCGAAGATTGAGTCAGTATATCGACGAAGCCGTTCTCACGGAAAACATTTTCCTGCTTCAGGTGTGGAACAACGGCAAGGGTGTTCCGATCGAGATTCACGCGGACGAGAACTGCTACGTCCCGGAAATGATATTTGGCCATCTCCTCACCAGCAGCAACTACGACGATACGGAGAAGAAGACGACGGGAGGTCGTAACGGTTATGGTGCTAAGCTCGCTAACATATTCTCCACGGAATTCGTCATCGAGACTGCAGACGGCGATCGCAAGAAGCAATATCGTCAGGTAGGACGTTCAGCACAACAATGCAAGCTCGTTATTCAGTGCCTATTCAGATGTCTCGTCCGATGCTTCCTTCCTGGTTCTCACGGGATTCTCCTGGCATTGTCATCAGGTTTTCAACGACAACATGAGCAAGAAGTCAGAGCCCGAGATTACGAAAACCAGGTCCGGAGAGAGCTGGACTTGCGTGACGTTCCACCCAGACCTGGCAAAGTTCAAGCTGACACATCTTGATGCTGATCATGTGGCCCTCATGAGCAAGCGTGTGGTTGACATGGCCGGAGTGCTCGGGAAAACTGTCAAGGTCGAGCTGAATGGGAACAAAATTTCTCTGAAGAACTTTCAAGACTACGTCGGACTTTACCTCGACTCACCCAGGTCAAGTGGTGAAGTCCCTGGCCCACTGCCGAAGTGAGTGAAATTAGCGTCAGTACTTGGTTAGCTTTCATTAGTTTCGAACTCGTCAGTGTGAGCTGAACCTCGTTCTGGATTTCTTGGCAGGATTTACGAGAAGGTCAACGACAACTGGGAGGTTTGCGTTTCACTGAGTGACGGCCAGTTTCAGCAGGTACGTTCTCGTGGAGTCAATGTCAGCATAAGTACCATCTGCACTGTTCCGACAGCACTGACCCTCCAATTTCACATTTACAGGTCAGCTTCGTCAACAGCATTGCGACAATCAAGGGTGGCACCCATGTCAACCTTGTCGCGGACCAACTGACCAAGTTCCTCATAGAGAAGGCCCAGAAGAAGGCAGGGAAGGGTGCGCCTGCTATCAAGGCCCATCAAGTGAAGTGCCATTTGTGGGTCTTCGTGAACTCGATGATCGTCAACCCGGCGTTCGATTCGCAGACCAAGGAGACGTTGAACACCCGCGCGAGCGAGTTTGGCTCCACATGCAAGCTACCGGACAGTTTCCTCCAGAAAGGTAAATTTTGTTCGTTCTCGATTTCGTTCTCAAGTCGCATGCTGGACAATTACTGACCTGCAGTGTATTTTTTTTCTTGCAGTCGCAAAATCGGGTGTGATTGACAGCATCCTTTCCTTCGCAACCTTCAAGGCGAACAAGGATATGAAGAAGAGCGATGGAAGCAAGAAGCAGCGGCTCACGGGAATTTCGAAGCTGGACGACGCGAACGATGCAGGTGGACGCAACTCCGAGCAGTGCACCTTGATTCTTACGGAGGGAGACTCTGCAAAGGCTCTTGCGGTAAGTATCTGACATATCTGCACTTGATGTAACAGTGCTGCTATAAGGTGTCTCAGTCGAATAACTTTTGCGTTTGCGTTTTTCAGGTGAGCGGTCTAAGTGTTGTCGGTCGTGACAAGTATGGAGTATTCCCGCTGCGTGGGAAGCTACTGAACGTCAGGGATGCCCCTGCCAAGCAGTTGACAGAGAACGCAGAGATCACCAACATCAAGCAAATCATGGGGCTTCAGCAGGGAAAGCACTACGACAGCACCAAATCCCTGCGATACGGCCATCTGATGATCATGACAGATCAGGTAAGCAGCTTGGGCAAATCTAGTCTTCTGGGGAAAATGAATACACGGTTTCTCACTAGAGGAGTCTCCCAATGCAGGACCACGACGGATCTCATATCAAGGGCCTCCTCATCAACTTCCTCCACGCCTTTTGGCCGTCACTCCTGAAGCAGCCCAACTTCCTTCTGGAGTTCATCACGCCCATCGTCAAGGTTAGATGAGTACTGGCGAATACTCCGATTCGTTTTTCCTTGTTCGAATATTTTGTTATAAGTTTGAGCATTCTGTGCTGTGCAGGCTACTGGGCCCCGTGGAAAGGTCATTTCCTTCTACACGATACCCGAGTACGAGTCATGGAAAGAATCGCTTGGAGGAAGTACCAAAGGATGGTCCATCAAGTACTATAAGGCAAGTTCCTGTTCTGGTGCCTACGGCACTAGATGTTTCTGAGATTTTAAACTTAACATTCTCTGTTTGTGGTCTCACAGGGTCTGGGAACAAGCACACCGAAGGAAGCCAAGGAGTACTTTGCAGCCCTTGATCAGCACCGGAAGAGCTTTGAGTGGACGGGAGAAGAGGATGGCGAAAGCATTGAGATGGCGTTTAGCAAAAAGAAGGTGGAGGACAGGAAGACGTGGCTGCGAAATGTGGAGGTAATTATGCGTGAGATATGTTGCTGATGTTATTGTCCCTTGTCTTGGTGTATCACATTCTAATTTCTTCTCGGTTGTAATTTTCAGCCTGGGACTTTCCTAGATCAAAGTGCCAAGACGATCAGCTACAGCGACTTTGTCAACAAGGAGCTGGTCCTGTTCTCCATTGCGGACAACCTGAGATCCATTCCATCTGTCATGGATGGCCTCAAGCCTGGCCAGAGAAAGATCCTCTTCAGTTGCTTTAAGAGGAAGCTGAAGAGTGACGTGAAGGTGCGGAAGCAACTTCTCCGGCAAGATGTTCCTAGAGTCAATAGTCTGCTCAGCTGTCGGTAACTGAGTGCGTTTCACGTATGCTCTGTCTCATCAGGTCGCACAACTGGCTGGTTACATCTCCGAGCACTCTGCATACCACCATGGTGAAATGAGCTTGATGACCACCATCATTGGTCTCGCCCAGGATTTTGTGGGTAGCAACAACATCAACCTTCTGGTGCCCAGTGGCCAGTTCGGCACTCGCCTTCAGGTACGTCAGGAAGACATTGCGTGGCAGTTCTTCTTCCCAGTCAGCTTCATCGACTGCTAGCTGAATCTTGTCATTTTTTGGTTGCTGAATGCAGGGAGGGAAAGATGCTGCCAGCCCTCGTTACATCTACACCAGGCTGCACAAACTCACGCGGATTCTTTTCTCTGAGGTGGACGATGCCCTTCTGGACTTCCTGAACGAGGACGGACAGAAAATTGAGCCAACATGGTATGCTGGTGATGATTCCAATTATCACATGAAGGCCTTACGTGATTCTCCTGAGTGCCCAGTCCTCATCATGAGCTTGCATACTTTTTGCAGGTACCTGCCAATCCTCCCCTTGGTCCTCGTCAATGGAAGTGAAGGGATTGGAACTGGATGGAGCTCCTACGTGCCAACGTTCAACCCACGCGACATCGTTGACAACCTCAAGCGCCTGATGAAGGGAGAGGAGATGGAGCCGTTGCACCCCTGGTTCCGTGGTTTCAAGGTAAGCTTACCGTGACCATCACCTTGTTGGGGATCTGTTAGTCTGTTTCCACACATTTATGTGATTAACAAGTTTTTGTCATCTTCGTTTTCTCCCTCCAGGGGACTGTGGAACACAACAGCAACAAAGACGGTCGGAACTACATCGTGACTGGAACCATCAACAAGGTCAGCGACACCGTTCTGGAGATCACGGAGCTGCCCATCCGAACCTGGACGCAGAACTACAAGGAGTTCCTGGAGGGGATGATGGTGGTAAACGACAAAAACAAGGAGCCATTCATCAAGGTACATAACAATACTGACAGGGGTGTTGCATATATTCGAATCACTGGATAATGCTAACATGCCTTTGTTTTGAACTGCAGGACATGCGGGAGCATCACACTGACACCACTGTGCATTTTGAGGTGCACTTGTCGCCCGAGGGAATGGCGACTGCAGAGGCTGAAGGACTGATCAAGCGCTTCAAGCTGACGGCATCAGTAGCAACCAGCAACATGCACCTCTTTGACAAGGATGGAAGGATGAGGAAGTACGAGACTCCGGAAGAAAGTAAGAAACACAACAACAGCTGTTTTCCTGCCATGGGAGGTCGTTGCTCTCATAATGAACTGAGGGTCTAATGTTGCACATTTGATCTGTGTACTCCTGCAGTCATTGAGGAGTTTTATCACATGCGGCTGGAGTACTACAGGAAGAGGAAGGTAATGGACGTTCCACTTTGAAATTTGGCCCTGTTTTACAAATTATTTAGACATGCTCGTTGAGTTTATTGGACTGACTGTCGTATTGTTGCCACATGATTTACAGGATATTCAACTGGAGCAACTTCGAAATGAGCTCATCAAGCTGGACAACAGAGTGAGGTTCATCCTTGCAGTTGTGCGTGGAGAGATCATCGTCAGCAACAGGAAGAAGGCGGAGCTTCTGGCTGAGCTGAAGGTAAGGCTTTGCTGCTCCATGGTTAGCTTTTCCTGCTATTTGTGGTTATGATGAGCGGAGTTGACGAACTTATTCTGATTTTCTCTTGCAGGAGAAGAAGTTCGCACCCTTGCCGAAAGGCAAGGTCGGCTCGAGCGGTGGTTCATCCACGGCCGCAGATGAGGAGGGTGACGATGAGGGGGAGGACTCGGGTGAAGAGGAAGGGGGCTCGAAGGCTAAGAAGGGGGGCGATGGTGGCTATGACTATCTCCTTGGCATGCCACTGTGGAGTTTAACCCTGGAGAGGGTTCAAGAGCTGCTGAGGGATCAGAAGAAGAACCAAGACGACCACGATGCTTTGTTGAAGACGGAGCCCAAGGACCTCTGGGAAAGCGATCTGGACTTGTTCCTTGCGGAGCTTGAGGTACGTTGTTATCATCCAGCACGTTGAAACTCGTTCTGTTAGTTTCCTGAACCAGTTCTTGGCCGTTTTTGCTCGCAGTATAAAGCAGTGTATGTGGCATTTTTCAGGTTGCGGAGGAGGAGGCGGCTCAGGAGAAGGCCAAGGAGGTGGCAGGCAAGCCTGGCAAGGGGAAGGGTCGTGTTGCCAAGGCTGCGGCCGCGAAGCCGAAAAAGGCACAGAAGAAGGCTCAGGTCTTCAGTGATGAGGAGATGGATTTCATCTCAGACTCAGATGATGACTTCATGGAAGGTATGGATAACTAGCTCGGCAAGGCGTGATCAATTGCAGTATCCATATTCTGACGTCCTCTCACATTTCTGTCCTGCAGATGCCAAGGTGAGGCGAGGAAAGGGAGCTGCAGCTGCTGCAGCAAAGCCAACAGCAGTGGCTGCTACAACAAAACCACAGGCATCTGTGCCTCTTGTTCAGGTGTGTTGATTTAGGGCCTGTGTGAGTGGGAGCATCCGTCCAAATGTTTCCAGATATTGATGCATACTTGTACCATATATTGTGAGGTTTGCTGACAGCTTCTGTGATACTCCTATTTCAGGCACCAAAACCAGAGGTGGTCAAACCTGCTCCCAAGGCGAAACCTGCTCCCAAGCCAAAAGCACCAGCTGGATCTGTACGTATTTGCTCTATTCCGTCCGTCTCTTTATCACGTGCAGCCGTGTTTTACATGCATCCATGTGTTGCATTAGCCGTGTGCCATATGCAGCCCTGTATCACATTCGACCCTACATTCCGTGCCGCGGTGTATTGCATGCACCGGCATGTGACATGAAGCTGTGGTTTCATATGCATCCCCATATCACATACTACAACTGCATACCAACTCCTTAACTCATCATTCCAGGGCGTCTGCTGTGGGGGCCAAGCTAACCCTTGCCTTGCTCTCCATGTTTTCAGGATTATGACAGCGATGAGGACTTCGGAGGAAGCCTCAAGGAGAGGCTTGCAGCCATGGCAGCTAAGATGTCACTGCAAGAAAAACCTTCAGGGGGAGGTTAGTAAAAAGGCTACATCTAGTCCATTCACGGGCCAGATGCATTTCCTGAATGCTGACGCTCGTTTTGGTTCTCCTTTCAGAGTCCACGGCAGAAGTGAAGCCCGCAGCTTCCAAGAAAGAACCTGCCAAGAAGGCCGCCACAAAACGACCTGCCACCAAGAAAATCGAGGAGAAGGTTGGTGTCTGTTTTGTTAGCTATTGTCTACCAAGACAGCTCTTGTGTAATTCACTGTGGCTAATTCTTCATGATGATTCTGGTTTTGCAGGTGGAGGAACCAGCTCTTGGTGATCAGTTTGAGTTCTTCGACGAGTTAGACATTAAGTCTCCCATGAAGGAGCCTGTGAGCAAGGTGCAAAGAATGCGCCCATCCCCTTTTAGCAAGAAGAGTGGTCTGCCAGCAGCAGAAGGTCGCACTCATCTCTCACGTGGGGCTCAAAAGAAGCCGGCTGTGGTGCTCAGTGATGACAGCGACGAGAGTGAGGAGAGCGAGGATGACTTCCAGGACTTCAGCGAGGAGGAGTACTAGGTTGTCAGGAAGGCACGGGTAGGATCCAAGAAGGCACGAGGTTCAAGCCGGTTTGACCCTCAGCCATTAGCATCTTTAAGTTCTAATATTTTTATCAGGGTGCATCTTTATGAACATCCATGTAGCTTCAAATGTCAAGCATACATACATACCAAAGATGGGTCGAATGCACACAGAAATACGGATCAAGAGCTTGGGTTCACTTGATAGTGTTCTCTGCTGTCTGCTGGTGAGACATAGCATCCAAACAACCTTGCAAAATATACACTGCAGAGATCTTGTCTGTAAGCTGCTTCTCCGACACTGCGTGTAAGCCAAGCCCCTGAAGAACCCCTGTTGCGGATGCTGTAGAAAGCCTCTCATCCCACAACAAGTGTGGGACGCTATGGAGATAGGGGCAGTGTCTGGCAATGTCCCCGGACAGAAAGTCCTGAATGACAGGGGTCATGTTGGAGCGCCCTCCAAACAGCTCTAAGGGAAACCCCACAACCATGCCAACAACGGAGCGCGAGCGAGCAATGGAGTCGAGCATTCGCAGTGAAACGGGCCGGTTTCTGAGGGTTTGAGCCATTGAAGAAAGATGGCTGTTGGCGGGTCTACTATAGTTGCTGCTGGTGCTGCTGTTGCTGCTCAAAGGGCTGGAAGCTTTGTGGCTCAGGCTAGAAAATGGGGATGTTTTCTGCGCAATGCTGTCTGTATTACGATTCCCACTCTCCTCAAAAGCAGCTGCATCGCCGTTTCTTGCTTCCCCCACATCTCCGTTGTCACCGCCGCCTACAGATCCGTTATCAGTCCCAAACCCACTTCCGCCATTGCTGCTGCTGACGCTGGCGTCACCTTGCTCCTTCCTCCTCTGCCATCGCCTGTTGGCGACAGGCAGAGGCGATGCCACTCGATTCGCTGCGTCGGACACGGCGACACCAACGAGCGCGGTCCCTACGTCCAATCCGAGCAGTCGACCGCCTGGTGACACCGCGAGCAGGCGACTCATTTCGGCAAGAGAGACAGGACGCATCGCGTGTGTGACGATTTTAGGGGTTGAGCAGGTTCTAAGAGACACTGGCGGGAAAATCAGACCAATGTCAACCGAGGATGTCGTAGAAAAAGAGCAAATGTTGCAACTTGAGGGGTTTTCAGGACAACCAAGGAACTACGGATCGAGCATGCTGTCTAGATTGCGTGAAAGTGCCAAATAAGAAGCAAGCTACCCAACACATGTGTAGGTTGAGTGCTTTTGTAGGGTCATCTGCGAACCTATCAAACTTGGTCCCTTGAAGATCCACTTGTCGAAGACGTTCGCTGATTACGCTGTAACCCTGCCGCTGCCTGTTTGGAGGCAATTTCGTCGATTAGAAATTGTGAAGCGAACCATTCAACGTTTCGTATCTGTGTACTGTTCCGACCCGTGGATGCTGAGGGGTCTGCAGCAGTGGTTAAATATGAATAATTTAGAAATAAATTTCTAAATTTAATGATTGTGACAAGATTCGGAAAGGGGGGAATGCAATAAGGAGTCAGGTCCCCTCTTATCCCTCGGCAGGTCCACAGACCTGCCACCTAGTCTCATTTCATCCATCTCAGTTTGAGTTGGCACATTCTCTCTTATGCCTAGATCTCAACCCTCAACCCTGCTTAACGACGTTTTAACAGCAAGACTTAACAACATGGCTAGCGGATTTGTTTCCGCAATTAACGGTCGTCCCCCTCCTGCTCGCATTAACACCCGGAGCTCGTCAAGACGTGGGTCACCAAGGCGAGATGATGACCGAATTTCTACTTCCGGGAGGGATCGTTCCCGCTCGCCCAGAAACGAGTCTCGTGGAGGAGTAACGGCTCTCGATTTAATTGGTGCAGCAAATCGTGGGACCAATCGTCGAAACGAGGATCGCGCACCCACTTCTCCGACGGGCGCCCGTAACAATCTCCCGCGCGAACCTGCAAGCGCCACTGACGCGGGAGCAGGAACGCGCACCCCTGCACCTCGCGCCAATCGTAATGAGGAGGGACCGCCTGGATTTTTCAACCAGGTCAACCCCCCTCTCGCCACTGTATCAGCCCAGGGGCGCGTGCCAGGCCAGCAGGAGAGGCACGCGCAAGTGGAGCAAGGACCCGCGCCTCAGGCCCCTCAGGCCCCTCAGGGACGCGCGTCAGTCCGAGACAGGCACGCGCCAGAGGAGCACACGCCTCGCGCGCGTGCTGCACCAGCGCGCGTGGCGAATCTTTCGCCTGGCGAAAATTCACGGCGTCCGGCGCAGCAGAATCTCGACGAAATCGGGACGGCGCGTGCTGCTGCTCGTCCGGATTTCGCGGCGATGCTGGGAAATCTTGACCACACTACCCAAGCGAATCTTCTCCAGATTCTAGCGCAACTTTCGGGAGATCCTACAAGACGCGCTATGGAGCGCCCCGTTTCGCCAGCGCCGGCGAACATTCGGGCTACACCTTCGCGGAGCGACCATATGGAGTATCGGAATATTAACAACGCGCCGCACAACGTCGACGCGCTTCACCAAATGTCGGAGCTTCTTGCGCTGCTCCAGCGCAATCACGCCAGCGGCCGGCCTGCCCCTGCGGAGAACCATCGCCCAGCAACTCGAAACGTCGAAGCCCCCGAGGCGGCCGAGGAGGAGGAGGACGGCGAACACGGCATTTTCGAGGAGATGAACGAAGGTAATGGCCCTCGCTCCCTCCCGCACGCTCATCCTCCACACTCCTCATCGGCGCTCATCCCAATTCCCCCATCACGTCCTCAACTGCGATCGGCACTCGTTAAGAGCGAAGGAGTACGCACTCAAATGTTTGGTTTTGAAAGAATTCAAATTATTGCTCGTCACGCGTTGAGCGTTTTGCCCTCCGAGGGAAGTGAGCAAGCGGCTCTCTATATAAAAGAGATTGAGCAAGAGGCCGAGGAAAAGATTATGTTTTTATTCACCGCCGACCAACGCGGGTTTGACGTGGCAAATGTGGCTTTAAAGATTAAGTATGGGGAGGTAGTTGAGGATAAGACGGTGAAATCCGCCGCTCAGATTGTGGCTGCAATGAAAAAGAGTCGCCCCAACCGTAACTCCTCCTTTCCCCAGCGGTTCAACCAGAACAACCGCGGCAGGGGTAACGGTGATCGTGCTTGGAACAAGTGGCGCCGCGACGGGGATGGACGTTGCTTCCTATGCCGTGAGCCCGGCCACGGTATTGCTCAATGCCCCCAGCGCGAGCAAGGGGCGAACCAGCTTGCACGCATAGTCTAATTGGCTATTTGCATATCTTCAGTGAAATGTCTTGTATGGCGGATACGGAAAATGTTTTTAATGACATAAGCTTTCAAGATTAGAACATCATTTACAATTCTTTCACGAGCTTGGTAGGCTCATCTCTCCCACTCCCAGGGTCAGCCTTTGAAAGAAAGAAAAGGACAAAAAAAAAAAAAAACAAACACTAAACTAAACCAAACTCTCTTGCATTAAAATTGCTGCCACCCATCCTCCAGGCACACCAATACACGCTCACATGCGCGGTCGGTTACGCGAATGCGTTACGTGGTGGTCCACATGGTGTGACAGCAGTTTCATACTTTCTATCATCTCGCGTGGTTATCAGTTGCCATGGGCAAACACCGAGCCCGCACCTTGCCGTGCACCTAACCACCCGGGTGCGACACATCATAGCGACTTCACCACAGAGGCAATTGCCGAGCTCGTAGCCACTGGCGCGGCTCGTGTTCTCCCGTCCCGAGCCAAGAATATATGTTCCAGTCCGCTGAACGTAGTCGTACAACCGACCAAGAAGCGGCTCATCCTTGACTTGAGGCACGTGAACAGCTTCTTGCGCACGTCTAAATTTCGCTACGAGGGATTGAACCGCATTCCCGATCTCGTTCAGGAGGGTGATTGGTTATTCACCATTGACCTCAAATCCGGATACCATCATGTCGATATTCACCCTCGTTACTGGCATTTTCTTGGATTCTCTTTCCGCGGCGTGGAATATCAGTTTTGCTCGCTCCCCTTTGGACTCGCGACCGCACCATTCGTATTCACTCAACTGTTCAAGCAGCTTGCCAAGCGGTGGCGAAGCCAGGGCATTCGAGTTGTCCCTTACGTTGACGATATCCTCTTTATTAGCACGAGCCATACCAGCGCGCTGCGTTCTCAAAGAGTCATTCTCGAAGACCTTCGATCCGCTGGCTTCCTTTTGAACACGAAAAAATCACAGCTCGAGCCAGTGCAGCGCCTCAAGTTTCTTGGCCTACTCCTGGACACAAGGGACCTGTCTTTCTCGGTCGACCCGGAGCGACGCACTCGCCTTCTTGAAGAGATGCGTCTCACTTGCGTGGAGGGCACTAACAGACGTCTCATCCCAGTTCGTCGCCTCGCGCGCATCACCGGCATGCTAGCATCCATGTCGCTCGCGCTCGGCACTGTGGCCCGCGCATTCTCTCATAATCTGCTCACACAGATAGCAGAATGCCCGTCTTGGGGTCATAGAGTTCTCCTTTCCACTAGCTCAGTCGACGAGCTCAAGTTCTGGATGGCGCGCTTCGACGAGTTTAACGACTCTCGATTTCATAACCCGCACACATACGAAGCGGTCATCTACGTCGATGCGAGTGACATTTCTTGGGGAGCAATACTTTCTGATCTCAAAACTAAGTTACAACCGCTCTCTGCTCCCATGCCCCACTCCTTGTCCGCTACCTCTAGCACACTCCGTGAAATCACCGGTATTCTCTGGGCACTCACCTCCTTTGCCCCGGGCATACGCGACCAACATGTCCTACTGCGCAGCGACAGCCAAGCTGCCTACTACATCATGCGGAAGGGAGGTTCTCGACGTCTGGAGATTACCCTTGTCTGCCGCGCGATCATCCAGCTCTGCGTCAGCTACCGTATCCGTTTGACGGTTCAATGGATTCCTCGCGAGCTCAATACGGAGGCTGACGACCTGTCCAAGGTCATCCATTACGATGACTATTCGCTTCGTTCTCCTTGGTTTCGCCTTGTCGA